TGAGTCTAGCAAAAAAAATACATTTTTTTTTCATTTCATTTTATTTAAAAAAAATATAATATAAAATAAACTAATGTAATTATTATGAAAACTTATAAATTTGAGATAAAATAATTTTTTAATAAATTATTTGGCCAGTGAGTAAGCGACGGGGTGGGCCATTTATTATTATTTACTTTCATTTTTTTTTGCTGAAATTTTTTATTATACAAATGAATTTATTCTTTTTGATTCAATAATATATGTTTCGTATTTTACAAACATGTGCGCCGCGCCGACATCATTATCGGCGGCGGTGTTTCTTCAAATCGATTAAAACGCCAAAATGGGCGGCGGCGCGACGGCGTCAAATATTTTTCTAACTCAAATTTTTTAAAATTAAAATTATAAATTCATTGGAAACACTTATAAAATAAAATTTATGCTTAATTATGTTTATAACTATAATTTAATGATTTTTAAGTTTAAATTGGACATATGATCTTTTAGTCGGAGTGAGCCCAGCTATGGAAAATACACGCTCGCTGGGGGTGATCGTTGCTGGAACGCACAGGACCTTTCTGGCTAATATTGAAAGTTTAGGAAGATTCAATGCTTTTATCTTCCAGAAATGAAATCTTTTATCTCTAAATTTTAAGGCGAAAATAATGAATAACACTCTTTTTTTAAACTAGTTAAATAGTCTTGTTGTTTCAGATTATTGTTATGAATAGATGAATGTTTCGTAGCCAATGTAAGATAATCGAATTTTGAAGCAACTTCTGTCGTTTCACGTTCGGTTAATTCGTCCGTGTAAGGCTATAGAGAGGTACGTGTTGACATAAAAATTGCATCGGAGTAATATTTTTTCCCCATAAATATTCATTTACTATATTTATAGATTGAAAATATGAGGATCCAAAAGCGCTCCTAACACCTAAGTAAAAAAATATAAAATAAAGAGAAATAATATATAAAAAATAATTTATGTATTTTAAAATACTACCTGATGATCGGTTATTGGAAATCTATGATCAAATTTAGTAAGCATATTTTGTTTAAGGGATGCGTGGGAGGATTATCATATTCTTTTACAATTAAATTATATTTAATTTCACTACGAAATAATAAGGATAAATTTATAGTAAATCCTTTTTGGACGTATAAAAATTCAACAGTTTTTTTGAAGGTTCTAAGAAAATTTAAAAGTTCATGCACCAAGTTCCAATCGGAGTTAGATAATTTGAGATCCGGTTTCTCCATTCTATTTAATAGAATATTTATAGGATTTTTGTTATTGCCCACACTTTCCAGCATTATTAAAATACTATGCCAACATGTAAGAACATTTAATTTTAAGGTTTTTTCTCATATGATTTTTGATATTCACTATCATCATCAAACCCCAAACCATCTTCATAAAAAAATCATTATCATTTTCGATATCGTTTATATTTTCAAAATCAATTGTGTTGAATCTTAAGGCAAATATAATTTCTCCCACTTTTTTAATGATTTTATTAACCTTTTTTAATTTCATCGATTGTCACTAGATTATGTAATCCATGCCCCAAACATAAATGATGGTCATATTTTCCTAGACGAACACTTTTCTTTACATCGGGTCCTGCATCCGTAACCATTTGAATTTTCTTGGACTCTAAATCAAATTCATTTTCAAATTTTTCTATCTCGGAAAGAATAGTTTTAGCGGTATGTTTTTGAGTGACATGATGTGTCGCCAATGTATAAAATACAATATTAAAATTATTATCTATTTCGTGAAATGTAAAGGTAATATAATTTTGCCGTCTATATTTGTCGGTCCACATATCAAAAGTTATAGCACAAAATTTAGGACCTATATTAATTTATTGATATATGTATGCTTTCATTGATAAATACACATCATCTAATCCACTCCGGCTAAGTGTTGTTCTATCTGGTAAATCTTTTGTAACTGAAATAATGCCATATTTCTACATAATAAAAAGTTAATAATAAAACTATTATGCCATAAAAAATTCTAAATGTGGGATGAGATCAGTTTTACTTTTATTTAAATATTCTATTATAAAATAATTAAAATTTTTAAAAATTAAGTTTAAAATTATAAAATATATAATAATATCAATACCTTTTCTGTTTTGCTATCCTAATCTCACGTTGGTCACAGACCTGCCCAAAGTAAGCCAACGTGTATTATATGGATTGTTACAAATCAAATTTATAGCAAATAATATTTATTAATTTTAAAAAATAAAATCACATTTTAATAATTCAAAAAATATTTAAATGAAAAAAATATGTATCACGCCGTCAAGCCGCGGAATTTTTACTATCTACTTTTCTATTTTCCTCGATTATATTTACAAATTTATTAAGTATGTTTCCAAAAACTTTTATCCACGTCCTTCCCAGAATTGCAATCTTGTCACTTTGGACTACATATGCATTTAAGTTTTGAGTTTTATCTTCATATCTCGCTTTTATTTTAACGATTCCGAACACCTCTATTCTTTTCCCATCACAGCCAGTCAGTTTCCTATCCGATTTATTTAAGACTTTAATTCCTATCTTTCTAGCAATATTAATCGGCAATATTGAATACCGCGACCCGGTGTTGATCTGCATGACTATTGGTAAATCATTAAGGTATATCGTAACTTTGTAATCATCATTTACCTTGTCATCATCATCCACTCTATTTACGTCAAATCTGTTGTTGTATGACTGATTATTGTATCTTGGTATGTATCTTGATTCGTCTTGATGTCTATAATATCTTTATTTATTTTCATTATATTTGTAATTATCATTATTATTATATCTATAGTTATTGTAGTTGTTATTATAATTTTTTATTGTTAAATCTTGTAAAATTATTATATGGTCTTGGCTATTATACCCCCTATCATTATCATAAACTCTAGGATTATAATTGTTTCGATATCTTGGTTCATAATTATTTGTATGTCTCGAATCTTCATAATTATCGTATCTCGGTTTCCACTGATGTCTGTGTACGTGCGACTTCATCCCTTTATCGTGCTCATCGTATTTCATCATCCTTAAAAAATTTTCTTTACTATCTAAATAATCTTCTAATTAATCTATGGATTTTGTTTTATCATTATTGTCTTATATAGGTTTATTCATATTTTAAATATTTCATCATTAAAATTTTATTATATTTATTTTTAATTTTATATTTTAATCATATCTTACGTGTTTTTAGAATTAAATATTTTCCCTAATCCTCTTTCTTCTAGCTTCATCATGTTCCAGTATCTAAAATCATGTTAAAATTTTAATTACATACGCTGCCACCATTTTAGATTAAGGAAAGGCACGGAAAGAATATAAAAATTTAATTTTTTATTTTATTTTTTATTATCACATACTAAAAATTTTACAATTATATATATATATACAATTTTAATTTACATTCGTCCTTAAAAAGTAAAATAAAATTTACGAAATTTTCATTAGGAAAATATAAAGTTTAAAGGTCATTAAATTACAAAAGTAAAAGAAATATAAAATTTTTTATATTCAAAAAATTATCCAATTAACAATTGAGAAAAAAAATTATTTGTTGGGATAACCGGTTCTTCAAATGCTACGCCCCCCCCCCGTTTATTTATATTTATCACTCCATACCTCTCGAATTAAACCATAACGTAATGAATTTGTTCTGAATAACTCCGTCTTTTTTATCCTGGTCTCAAACCCTCGAAGACGTATAAGTCCTTAAAAAAAGATTGTTATAATGGAGATTATTTAGAAAACGTCAGATAATTTAAATTAAATGGAGTTTAAGATCATCTTATTTGAATTAAGCGATTTTGACGCTGCGTTAAATTGAAAATATTTGATTTAAAAAGATTGCGTTAATAGGAGCGATTCAATAGTTAATTCAAATATATTAAAATTATAAATAAATTTACATTTATATAATTTTATAAGGCCTTAATTTAAACAAGGATAATCGAAAACGCTCAATTGTAAGTAGTATTATAATCATAACCCATTACTCTTATAAGTACGGTGTCAAATTTTCAAAATTATGATAGACCGAAAAAAAAGCTCTAAAGATGCTATTGAAAAATCTAATGAAGTTTAATATAATAATTAACTTAATCTAATATTTCCCATGTGAGTAGGTATTAAAAAATTTACGATTTTTCTTATCCGAAAATTTATATGGAAATGAAAATTCTATTGAGCATATCAAATCAGCTGTTATTGTACTACAAAATTTCCCCTTCTCAAAAAATGTTGTTTTCGATTATTTTTCATCTATTTATGACAATGCATTTCAATACTATATTCTTAATAAAGATCGTATACTTCTTTTTAGTTGTTTTTTTATTGTTTACCAATTTTAAGTACAATTATTTGATGAAAAATATGGGTTATCACTTAATAATATTAAATCGTGCATTTATCTTCTCATTAAACAAAATTATGATTGCTGGACACCTCTAATATCAACAGTAATTTATATAAATAGTGAAATATATACATATGCATATTGTTAAGTGGTCAGTAAATCTACTGGGAAAATTATGCACATTACATGGGCAACATGTATATCATTCCCATAGTTTACAATGGGATTATCACAATATTCCTATTGTTATATTGGATAAACTGATTAGTATATGGATAGATTACCCTATTATTGGGTCAATTTTAGAAATTTTACATCAATGTCTAGCATCATTAATATTGAATTTTTCGGATTCAGAGAGTGAAACGTATATAGACTTTTTGATTCAAACAGTTTTGCAATTCCATCCATATTATGAATGGATTTTAGGTTATCTGGGGTATAGATTATTTTTATAACTTTTAATTTATTTTTATTTTTTTAGTTCTTGTTTTCCTAAAACGGTGATCAAAAAATTAATTAGAATATCTATAAAAGATTATACAACTAATATGCTAAATAATATGATTGCATATGATAGTTATAGTTATAAATTAAGATCTACACAAAAAATATTAGACTATTATATAACATGCTCCTATGTGGAAGTTAAAATCATATTCTCGCAACTATTTAAAGTATATTTAATGGATTAGTTGTATTGTATATTACATTATAAGTCAAGGTAAAAAAATATTTTAAACATTGTAGGAGATAGTTTAATATTAAATATACACAATTCAATTTTTCAAAAATATAATTAAACAGAATTATTTAAAAAATTTTTAAATAAATAAAATACTATTAGAATATTTTTTTAAAGGAATATTTTGGTCAAGAAATTAATTCAAAGGATGCAGACTTATCAGCTCTCTCATTTCTAATAAACCTTTCTTCCTTATCTAGCCCAGTCTCCAACATTGTTTTGGACTCTTTTTGGCCACTAAGTTTTTAAAATAAATAAATATTCATTTCTAAAAATTGTATTTTTATTAATAATAATTTTATAAATAAATAGAAAAGTACAATCAAACCAAGGCCATAAATACAGGGCATTTGGGGGTCAGGCTCACTTAGAAAATTTTTGGATTCCCAAAAAAATCTTTTAAAAAATTATTTATATATGCTTGCATTTAGTATATAAGAAAATTTGAAAAATAATTATGGCTGGTATCTCCCATCTTTCTCTAGTAGCTCTATTCATGGCCATGATGCAGATATTTAAAAATTGTCTATTGCAGAATCATATCTGCTGTAAAAAATCTATATTTAAATACTTAGTGTCTTTGCACAATTATGACATATGGAATTATGGGATAGATCTTTACACATCTGTTCTATTCAATTGGCAAGACGTTCCACGTTTCACTGATTCAACAGCCAAAGCCTTTTACAATTATTACAGCGGTGGTTCTAATGGGCAATTGTACAACCATGTTCTTAGACCTATAATTCTTAAAATGATTGGTAAATCTATCTTAAAATCATGTAATTAACTTTAATAAAAGAAGAAGATATTAAGTAATAAACTTAAAAAAATAACTGCCTATTAGAAAGTTTCCTTTTTAACGAAAAACGGTCATATCAATAAGGGAAAAAGTAGGAAAATGTCTGATCGATGAGGTAAAAGATCTCAGCGAAAAAGGAAAAAAAATCCCCCCCCTCCTCCAATTTATACAATATATCATTATTCTCTTATAAGCAATTGAAAGAAAAATAAGTATAATTAAAAAAAGGAAGATTTTCAAAAATAAATTTCTCAATTCTTTCTATGTTATTTGTAATTTGGTAATTTTTTTTCCACGTTTTTAATCCCTAAATTTCTTGCAATCATTCCTTTTTATCATTTTGCTCTAAAAAAACGTTTATTTAAATCTTGGAAATGACAAAAGAAAATAAGGGAAAATAAATAAATATTCCAAAAAATAATCAGACAACTCACTATTTACCTTTTTTTGAAAAATTTTACCATTTTTTTTTGCTTGAACCTTTTTCTTTGTAGGAATTTTTCCTTGTTCAAACTTTTTTATCCTTTAATGGATTCTTTTTCGAAATCTGGTCTTTAGCCTTACCTCTCATTCGGAAAGTCCGCCATAAGGAGGTCTAACTCATTCAAAGTTAGCTCGAATTAGCGACGAAGAATTCGCACAAACTTTGAGTGATTGGTTAGACACTTTTTCCTTACTTTTTTTTAAAGGGGGGGGGGATTGTACCACATCCTATTTTCATACGCTTTCTTTGAATTAAGGGCACGATATTTTGCCGATATTAAAAGGACACTGGGTTATAAAGGGCTATATCTCAGAATTGGCCCTTAATTTTTTTTTATGCCTAAACATTTTTGGAATGTCGACATAAACATTAAAATTTGTTACAAAATGTTGTGTTATATAATTTAGTAAATTTTAACTGAATTTGGAATAAAAAAAATCTGAAATCGTATTATATGTGGTTATTATCTATCTTTTTATATAAATTTTATATAACGAAAACAAACATTCAAATATATTCTAGTTTAACGTTAAGATAAATTATAACGCGAAACCAATGTATTTTAGTGTTGTTAAACGGCTCGTTTTGAGCCGATTTGTAAAAACTGCTAACTCAATATTTCATCCAGAAAAATACTACGCAAGCCCGAAGATTTTGCTCATAGATGACACAAAGGTCTAGACATATATTAACCAAATCTCGAGTCTTAGGCAATATTTTTCTGGCTATAATATTGAGTTAGTAGTTTTAAAAAATCGGACTCAAGACGAGCCCTTTAACAACACTAGTGTATTCAAATCTAATAAAATTTAACGTTAACACAATATTATCGCACGAAATATAATATTCAAATATATGTTATTCATAAGAAATTTGCCTTAAAATAATATTCAAACCAAAAAGGCCTTTGGAATATGTCTATCTATCATATAGGCCCAAAAAATTGTCCTAATTATTGATCCAAAAACATAAGCCGTTTTTATTAGTGTGTTAAACGGCCCTATTTTTTTTCAAACTGTTAACCCAAATATTTTAGCCACAAAATTTTAACACATTCCAACAGTTTTGCTCGTAGATGACAGAAATGTTTGGACAAGGTTTGCGTAATATTATGTTGGTTTTAATCTTAATTTTTTTTTATTTTAAATTGGCTTAATCGAGCCGATTAACGACTCTAGTTTTCATAAGCTGATTGATACTGAATGCCTCCCTAAAATATTCCCAAGATTTGTTTATGCATTTAAAAAAAAATTAAACCGCCGATTCCAAGATAGATGTACACATTTTTTTTATAAACAGGGGGTTCATTTTGATACAAAATAAATAATATTGACTGAGCTCATTTTCGATTTTATTAATATGCGCAAAAAACATAACAAAAAAATTTTTTTTTCAGATCCCAAAAAGAAGAAATCTCACAAAGCATCTTATTTCATGCGCGAATTGTGTCAAAAAACTTTGGTAAATTTTTCTTTTTTTTAAAAAAATATATATTCTTTATTTGAGTATCCATTTTCCATAGAGAATAATATTTTTATGGAAATTTAAGCAGGAACAATGAACAACGATATTTTTGCCTCCGTGTTCCGTTCCAGTTAATATCGAACTTAATATATTTTTTTTATTCAACACAATTTCATTAAATAAGGTACTAAGTACAAGAATACTAGGAAGTTTAAAGGTAGTGCCTATTAAGACTAAGATAATGGTGAACAGACTTAGGTGGTATGGGCACACAATGAGAAGGCCTATAAACTATATAGGAAATAAGGTTTAGAGTTTGGAAGTGATAGGTAAATGTAAAAGAGGAAGGCCAAAACATCAATGGGGCCATAAAGTTAGAGCCAATATGAAGAAATATAAACTAGATAAAAGAGACAGCATGAATAACATAAAGTGGAGAGATATTGAAGGAGCTTACCACCAGAAAAAGGTGAAAGCTAAAAAAAATCTTTATTTTTAACCATTAATATGAATGAATTATTGCATCGATGCTTTTAAAGTGTATATTTAATAAATTAATGTTTTCTGCCAATCACAGTTTCGCAATGGCGACATTTGGATGATTTTTTTTTATTATTTAATATCAAAAAATAAAATTGTTTATTACCATATTTTGTTATATAAGATAAAATAAATTTTATAGACGAAAAGCGGGGTTTTAAATGAAATTGTTTTAATCATAATTGTAAATTTTTGTGTGACATTCACATTTATGTTCCCACATAGTACACACTCGGCAACTGTGCACTAAATTAACTTTCTTCTTTCTTTAAATATTAATTCAGAATAATATAACAATTTATTTTAAAGTCTCACAAACTCTTCAAAACCAAAAAATATCTTGAAGATCATATTTAAAAAAATGAATTTTTTTTTGAACATGCTCAAACAAGATCTTTTGATCGTATTCCAAATCTTATTTTTTCTTTTCTAGTGGATTATTTAAAATTTTTTTTGTTAAACCCAGATTTAATCTAATTTTTTTTAAAATATAATTATAGGAGAAATTGGTGAGTAATATTCAAAAAACTCTATACGTATATGGCAATACGGTGGATCCCCAACAAACTACTGGAATTTTGGTGCCTATCTTTGAAAGCTTCAAGGACGAAAATGTTATCAGACTCATATGCCACCACTACGTCAACTGCTTACAATTAACGACAGCTAACGACCATTTCGACGCGTTTTACAATTATAATGAATAGATAAATAATCAAACCATTTGTCTAAATTCTTTATTTTTGTAGTGAAAAAAAAGTTTTCGGAAAATGTTTTTTTTGTTGAATTAAAAATTGTCTTGTGTCTCTTTTGTTAACCAAAAAATTTAGATATTTATCACAAGGAAAGTATATTTAAATTCGAATTTTGAATATTCGTTGGTGTAGTTTTTTTTTTAAATATGATTTATTTATTTTATTTACAGAGTCACGTGGTACAAAAATTTTATAACTTCTATGTGCGTCTATTACAATGATCAAAATTATTCGTTTATCATAATAAAGCAACTATTTCTAAGTGCAGACACTCAACAAAAGGTTAAGAGTTTTAAAAAAAATAAATAATATATATGATATTATTCGGATTGTCAATTATTAATATTTATAGCAAATGCTACCGATTAAATCAATTAATAATTGCTTTAATAAGATGAAGGCGGTGATTAACTGCGGTTATCTTTAAACAACTCTAGTAATTTAGGATATAAATAATGAATAGAATATATAAAAATATAATCTTTTTCTATTTAACCTATAACATAAATCAATATGTTAAAAATTGGGAGAAATAATACTTGTTTAACATTGCAACTAATATAATATCAGAGACCTGCGAGAGGTACCATTTGCATGGTCCGGGTCGAATTTTTTTAAAAAAAAAATTTTTCGACCCAGCCAGACCCGGGTTTTATATTTGCAGGTCCGGCCCGGATTTTTTATTTTTATATCCAATAATGGCGATTTGAAATATTTGGTATTAAAATATACGGCTCGGCTCTCGGTCTTATGGACGGGCCTCAGGTCTTTGCATGATATATTATATAGCATTAATTATACCTTTTAATAATGATAAAAAACAGCTAGTAGTCTTATTGGGATTCATTGATGCGCTCGAATCACTGGGTTACCCTAACGGCAAAGACTTATACTCCCACAATTTTATGGATCTCTTACTAAACCACCCTATTGACACATCATCTAACTCAGAAAGAATTGTTAAGGATAATATCGTCAGCCGCGAAACGGAAGAAGAATTGGATTCCCGTGAAACCCGATTGGAAGGAATTGAAGCAGAAGAAGGCGAATATTACTTGAAAATATTGGGGATTGCTGAAAAAATGTTAGGCTACGTATTCGAGGAAAAACGTTGCGAAGAATTCGACCATTTTAGTGATAACGGTGCTCTAACCAATTTTATTTATAAGTAAATCCATTTAAAGAAATGTATATATAACTTTATTTTTATCTGTAATCTTGGATGGGGGGGGGGGGGGGCAAAAAATAAGAAATAAAACTTAATCACTTTTAGCATCACTAGGTTCTTATTAAATTTATTTTATTGTTACAAGAAATTGTTTAAAAAAGTTTGTAGAAAGAATAAAATTTTATTTCTCTAATTTTTTTTTTGAAATAGATTTTTGAATTCTTTTGTCACGCTATTACCCGATATCATAAGAAAACCAATATTTATTACAGGTAATTTCGCTTATTATATTTTTTTTTTGTAAAAATTTAAAAAGGCTTATATTTATTTAATTATCATTTTTAAATCATAAGAGCCAATTATGTATATATTATATACTACAAGATTAGCAATTCATTAATTATAAGGTGCATACATGGGAGGAGTCAGCTATGGCGCCATTTTGGGCTTATCGATCATTTATTAATGTCATTTAATCGACGTACAAACCTCAGAATGGTGATGCAACTGACTCCTATATTTTTGTAAACTTTTCGAAACATTTAATGCATGAATCTTCAATCTAGTAGTATATTCCTATCTTTGATTTATTCATTTTTCAACTTAATTAACCTTGGAGTCGTAAAATGCCACACTCCATATGATTATTATTATAAATAAAGTCATCGAGTTTATAAGTTTCATGCATTTCAATTTCGCTAAAGATAAAATTCTTTAATGGCCAAGTACTATAATAGTTGGGCAATTGTTCTATTTTTGGCTGGCTAAAATAAACTTAATCGGTTAGCCAAAAACTAGCGCCTCGGATTTTCTTAAAATATAACTCAACTTTAGAAGAAAGCAAACCTCACAGAGTTTAGCTAATATTTTTATCACGTTCCTGATTTAGCCTATTTACCCGATTTTAAACCAATAATAATTATCTCATTCATAATTTATATAAGTTTAAATCACTTTAAAAAAAATAAAATAGCTGGTATAGTCTATCTTCGAATTGTTGGGAATTTAAAGTTAGACTCTCAGGTCATGGCAATTTATATTTTTCGAAAAGAATTTAACATTCGGCATAGATTCCCCCATCCCGTTAAAATAATGTAGTATTGTGACTCCAATAATCTTTATTCCTAAAAATATTCACATAACACTACACTCAAAAAAATATGATATAAATGCGTTGATAACAATAGAATCTATAAAAATCATGTAATATATCTTCTCGACATAATATGAGCAAACTTCCATAAATGTCAATTACAAACTGACAGTTACAGCAATTATTATAGTTTCTTCGAGCTTGGAAAAAGAATTATCACCCATCAAAACACGGCCAGAGACTTAGGGTCTACATCTAAAATAAAAATCAGTATGATTATTTTCAGACCATAGGGTGTAATTTTTGTCCATTGTTTTTTAAAGATGTTGAACTATTTTTTATTTGGATTTCATATTTGAAACTCGTGTAATTTAAAAAATTATACATATATTACACAGACCTCGTACCGGGTCAGGCGTGAATTTTTTTTAAAAATACCTAGGACAGGCCTAAAATGCGAAAATAAATGCCGGGAAAGACCGGACTTATATTTTGAGATCAAAGATTTTATCGCCATTAGCAAATAAATAAAAATAAATATAATATATTTTAAAGAAATCCGGGTTGGATCTGAAAATTTTATTTAGAAAATATCTGGGCGGGCAAATAATACCTCTGCAGGTCTCTGATATATTATTTAGTTATTGAAAATCAATTTGTATATTTTATAAATTCTTTGTATTTAATTGTTATAGCATAATACATATTGTAAGTATGATATCATTAAAATTCAAAAATCTGGTGTTTCCCCATCTAACCACTCACGTCTTTTTTTATCCCCACCATTCAAGTATATGTCCTTCCTCTAGGGATCGGTTTTATATCTCCTAGAAAATTTTAAAAGTAATATTGAAAATAAATATAAAAAAAATGCTAGGGAAGTAAACACTTGTATGTTAAATTTGTGTTTTTGTATTTAAAAAAAAATTGCTAAAAATATAGGGGAAATATCATCCAAATTTCCAAAAGAAATATCTAATAATATTATTGCATAATTCCTAATTTTCTTCTGTTTTTAGCGATTTAGAACGGGAACTTTCTTTTATTACCTTTTAACAGTTTTTCTTAAGAATTTAAAATGCCAATTACTTGTTAGAAATAACATGAATTAAGTTTTAGATGCTGTATAATATATATAATAGGTTGGATCGAACAACTTTTTCAAAATATATTTAACGGTCATGCTGGAATTTCCCAAATTTTTTTTAAGGACTACTGGCAAAAACCTTTTAGGGTCAAGCTACGCTAACTTTTACTAAAAAAGACATGATTATTATTCTTATTATATTCTTTTCATTTATTTAGAAACGTTGAGCTCGAAGCTTTTGAAGTTCTTGTCCACTTTTATTGACGGATCTCATAAAGGCATATCGTCGAATTTCTTACTTCATCCTTTTAAGGATACCCCACATTTCATAATTTTCACAAACTTTGCCAAAGCCTATTTCAAATGTCACGTTTTACAACAAACTGGTAAACTAAATTCATTGTTTTAAATACACATAAAATATTAAACAGAAAATTGATCAGTGTTGTTAAACGCTACTTTTAAAAGTAGCGCGCTATTGCTACCGCTATTTTATAAAAAAAGTAGCGCGCTATCGCTACCGCTATCGCTACCGCTATCGTTTTCAAGTGAGTAGCGCGCTATTAGCTACTTTTAAAAAAAGTAGCTCTACTTTGATTTTTTTTTAAATATTTTTTTTTACGTAACTTTATTTCCACAAATAAAATATTGATATAAAAACATGACTATAATTTGTTACATATGTATATATAATTTATTTATTATTGCACTTTAATAATAATAACATTTCGGTACTGTCATCCCCAAGTCTAGAGCGACGATCAGAAAGTATAAGCTTTGCCATACTAAATAATCGTTCAGCACTAGCACTTAAGGGCAACGCAGTATTAAATTTAATAAACAAACTTTTTATATGAAAAAAATCATCAAAAATATTTAAATTAGTATTTTTAGATTTAAAAAAAGCATCTAGAGGTTCAATAATATTATTATTATTTATTTCAAAAAAATCGTCTATGGAAAGCTGTGGTTACGATCTTGCTATAATATCGTGGTTAGGCATGCCATTTTTTAACGTTACCATCAGCCTATCAAGTTGCCCTTTAGATTCAGTCAAATTAATGTATGGCCAATTTAACTTGAAACTAGGATGATCTTGGTCCGTGGAGAAAATGTGTTTATCATCTTTATAAAAGAATCATTATCCACCAAGGATAATGGTTGAACTTTATCTATTATAAAGTTCATAATGACTTTGTCAGCCAATTTTTGGGATACACCAGGTGTTGATGAATCCAAATTGGTTAATTTTGTTTGTATTAAATTTGATATGGAAGTGGGTTTATCTTCTTCCATTACCCCAAAACTTTTAAGATATTTTTCAATCTCTTTATAATTTGAAGTGTGCACAGTCTAAAATTATAAAATACTTAGAATAAATATTATGTAGGAGATAAGTATACATAAAAATGATTGAAATAACTATTTTAAAATGTTTTAAATAATTTAGATAAAATTTATGAATATATAAAAAAATGATTGGTTTTTGATTTTAATTTATTTTAAAAATTAAAGATTAGCCTACACATTGATATTAAATTTGTTTAATAAAGTATTTCTTGAATTTTGGGAAAGGATCATCTATATTTTGCTCATTTTCCAAAGAAATTTCAATATCTTCAACAATCTCACACATAACAAGATTTATAATGTTTAATATAAAATGTAAAATGAAATATAAAATAAGATAAAAGCAAGGACATACAAATAACGGAATTTCAAAAATATATAATTTAATGAATGCGCGAAATATAAATTAAATACAGATTGCTATTTAACAACTGTTTATATCTAATATATAACAATAATGTATATTTTTAAATATAAATTTCAAAATTAAATTAAATAAAAGGATTATAATTTTAGATTTTATAAAAAATATATTTTAATAATTTTTAGATGTATTTATTATGTAAAATTGAAAGTAGCGAAGTAGCTTTCTAAATTAGTAGCGAGCTACCGCTATTTTTTAAAAAAGGTAGCGCGCTATAGCTACCGCTACTGAAAAAAGTAGCGCGCTACTTGTAGCGCGCTATTTTAACAACACTGAAATTGATAAAGAAGGAAAAAAAAATTTTTAATGTAAGGGTTTGTCCAAAGTCAAAATTTTATTTAAAAAAAGAATTACTTTTATTATTGAAATTTTATAAGATAGAATTAGGACTCATAATGAATAAATTCGAGAATCATTTATTTTTTAAAAAATAATTTATTATTGAAATTTACGAAATCGAATTAGGACGCGTAATGTATAAATGAGGGAATCATTTATTTTTTTAAAAATATTAATTTATTATTGAAATTTACGAAATCGAATTAGGACACACAATGTAAAAATACGAGAATCATTTATAAGAAATATTTTTATTAGACTGATTAAATTAAGGTTATAAAATAACCTTGATTCCACCCAATTATATATTATACAAATTTATAGAAAAGATTATTTATACCTTAATTAATCACAATATTTTCTACCAGATATAATTCGTAAAACGAATAATTTCCAAGTCATAAACTCGCTTTTACCAAATCTGATCTTGAATGAAGATTTTCCTAGCGACAATAAGAGAGAAGGCTCTGGTAGCGATTCTACTCACTATTACTTTGTCAAAATCTTGATCGATGCGTGTTTCGAATACTATGATTTTCAAGTTAAATATTCTTTAAAAAAAAATCACAAATTTGATTTCATGTGTTGAGACGAAATTTGATTATTTTTTTTCGCCCATAATTCTAAACTCAAATGCAAATGGAGGACTTAAAATAAGTTTAGATAGGTTTTCAATCATAACTATTTATTAATATAAAAAAATTTAACATCAATCAATGTAAACTTATTAAAGCAAGATAATCATTCAACTCCTCACCAGGACTCTTCGGAAAATATTTCCTTATTTTCGGAGAATATGCTCTTACAAAATGATACCTCGTCCCATCAATCGAATCAGATTATTGCCGGTAATAACCTGGATAGGAGAAAGATCATAAAAACTAGGCATATCAACGAACGCGATAGGGAAGATATTTTGAACAATAAAGTAATGTTGTTTATGATGATGAATGTAAAAATCTGTATCCTGATTTATGCACTAATGGCATTATGCACAATCGGGAAATTTATTTGATAACTTATAAAATTGTCTATATGTAAAGTAAGGTCATTACTATCGATATCACGTCAATTCAGTGTGGCGTCAATTTGGCACATATTTAATACAGTTGCAAATTAGTATAAATTAAAAGGATGATTAAATAGAAGTCATTTTGAATGTTGGTCATATTAATTATTTCTTCATATTTTTTTTACAAAAATCTTAATTTTATTTACTAAATGTGTAATATAAAAAAAAATTAACAACAATTATTATACCGATATCCTTGCTGGACCAATTTACCCCATTATGAGGTTAGTAGCCAATATTATATAAGCCTGAAGATTTGCACATAGATGTATGAAAGGTTTGGACCTCTATCTCGAATTTTACCTATTATTTTGGCTAAAATCTTAATCGACCGTTTCTAAAATAGACCCAAATCGGCCGTTTAACAACACTAATGTTGAATGTTGTTCCAAAAAAATCCAAATTAAGATTGACTCATTTTTAATCCTTAAAATAATTCTATTAATTATTTAAAAAAAATATATATTATGTTTAGGCTAATTTTTTCTATTAGAAAATTATCAAAAACAAATTAACGCACAATTTTTTTATTTATTTATAAAATGACATAAAACATGCTAAAAATATGTTTAAAAAAATGTTTATGAAACATTATGTTTGTAATTTAAAATTGTATGTGATCCCCCTTAAATAATCATTAATCGGGCGATTTACATAGTCAGATACAATTAATGTAATATTTACAGCTGTATCTTTCTTGATCTCGGGGTTTGCGTACCAGAAATATATTGTTCAATTTTTGCTTCGGTTAACGATTGGTAGAGCATCTAAAAATTTCCAAATAGAGGGATGATGCGATGAGAGCAGAGATTGGAATGCTCTGTACCAACCTTTAAAAAATAATTGCAAAGTAAATTATAAAAAATGATTGTGCAATATTGATTATAAAGATAAATTTAAATAAAAATTACCTTCAACTGCATTATTTCTTTTTGGGATTTCCTCCAATGTAGTAGCATATTGATTCCGTAGGGGAATTGGAAACTTGGTGGTTGTCTTTCTCTATTACGAAGAATTTTCCCAATCCAATTCGCTTCATAATATGTTATAAGATTATATAAGACCCTTTCATTATCTTGATAGAATGGTGTTTGTGTAAGTCCATAAAAAGCATCAACTACATCATCCATGGGAACAAATGCAAGAGAGAGCATTTGTCTAATTTTTAGGCCACTCATATCCTGCATCTTTATCTAAATAATGTGCTAATAACTTGCCATCACTCTGTTGTCTCCAAATCGCTTGGGTCATATAAAAAAAACACCCTGTTACAGTTATTGACGGAAATGAATATGTAAAGACATTTATTTCCGCCTGCTCAAAATCGATCATTACCGATATAGGATTTAGATTATTTTGTAATCTTTTTATCTCATCCGAGACCCTTATATATGTAATCTGGATTTTATTCGGTAATAGCGCAAAAATTATGGGTACAACTGTTTTATGATATAGGACATTGAGGGTCCAAAGTTGATGAAGAATTAAGGGGTTTGTCTTAAACGTGCCATCTGTATATCATTGACTGCTTTCCGCTATCAATGTAAGGTTCCGTTAAATAATAGTTATCTTCTATTTTTAAGAATTCCTTTAAATTATGTCATAAGTGAACGTGGATCAAAACAATATGGAAATAGGTAGAATCTTTTAACTTATTGGAAGGTATACCTACACATTAAATGAAGAAGTAATTCTTCATATTGATAATCATAATCATGTGTTAGATGTTACTGAGGTCTTAATAACCGAAAGCCTAAATAACATTAAAAAACCTGCCATTAAGGTGACTGATACACCTCAGAAAATTATAAGCATTGCAATAGCAGGGGGTTCCCCATCCCATCATGCTCGTTATGATCTGGATTTATCCGATATCTATAGAATTACATGTTCGGGGTTGCAATTCCTTCAATATGACAGCAAGCAATTTCAACCGGAAGTTATATTCGCCACCGCCTAAAACCTTACATTGATGGCGGAAAGCAGTCACTAGTATGCAGATGGCACGTTTAAGAGAACCCCCTAAATATTTCATTAACTTTGGGCCCTCCATGTCCTATATCATAAAACAGTTGTACCCACAATTTTTACGGTATTACCGAATAAAATTCAGATTACATATATAAAGGTCTTGGGTGAGATAAAAAGATTACAAAATAATCTAAATCCTATATCGTTAATGATTGTTTGAGCAGGTGGATTTAAATTTATTACTCTTTCAATTCCATCAATAACTGTAAGAGGGTGTTTTTTTTCATATGACCCAAACAATTTGGTGACCACACAAAGTGATAGGGAGTTACTAGCACATTATTTAGATAGAAATGCAGGAAATGAGTGGTCAATAAAAATTAGGCAAATGCTCTCTCTTGCATTTGTCCCCATGGATGATATATTTGATTCCTTTTATGGATTTTGCAAACACCATTTTATCAAGACAATGAAATAATCTTAGATAATCTTATTACATATTATGAAGCGAATTGGATTGGTAAAATTCTTCGTAATGGTGATAGACAAGCACCAAGGTTTCCAATTCCCCTTTGGAATCAATACGCTGCCACATTGGAGGGTATCAAAATTTGCTATTTTTTATAATACTTTGCAATTATTTTCTAAAGGTTGACCTTGGCATAGAGCATTTTCATCTCTGCTATCACCGCACCATCCCTCTACTTGGAAATTTTTAGATGTTCTACGTTTAGAACAATATATTTCTGGTATGCAACTCCCGAGATCAAGAAGGATGTATCGCGATACAGCTGAAAATATTGTATTAATTGTAGTTGACTATGTAACTCGCCCGATTAATGATTATTTGAGGGGGATCGTAAATAATTTTAATTTACAAACATATTAATGTTATCTATTTTTTTTTAAAGTTCTTTTAAACATATTTTTAGCATGTTTTATATAATATTTTTATATTTTCTATAGTCATTTTATAAAAAAAATTGTGCGTTAATTCGTTTTTGATTATTTTATAATAGAAAAAATTAGCCTAAACATAATATGTATTTTTTTAAATGATTAATAGAATTATTTTAAGGATTTTTAATAATTCTAAAAAATGAGTCAATCTTAATTTGAATTTTTTTGGATCAACATTAGTGTTGTTAAACGGCCGATTTGGGTCTATTTTTAAAAATTTTCGATTAAAACTTTAGCCAAAATAATATGCAAGATTCGAGATGGAAGTCCAAACCTTTTTTACATCCGCAAAGTCACCAGGTTTACATAATACCGGCTACTAATCAACATACCTTATAATGTAGCAGGCACCAATGGGAGGGAAAGGGGGAAATTCCCCCCCCATTACAAATTTGACTGTTTTCATAAATATCATTTTAAGCTAATAAAAATTTTACCCCCCCCCCCCCCAATCAAAATTGTACAAATATTTGAATATCAATTTTCCAACATAAAACTTATTTTTTATAAATAAATTTTATTAAAATTTCCTTTCCTTGTGAGTACATTAACATTATTCAAAATATTGATAAAATGGAAAAATTTTTAGTCAAAGAGATTGAAATCAAACGGTAATTTATTTTATTATTATATACAATTATTTTATTAAATTCAAAATTATTAGTGAGTTAGAATTAATAAGTATTTTTAATAATATTTTATTTATTAATAAATATCTATAATTTTTTAAACATTTTTCATTTTTACTTCCATTTTGTAGACCAGAAGAAATTGAAATACAAAAGTTAAATAAGGCTGAGCATGAAAAAAAGTAATGTGTCGTCAGAAGCGATATCATTATTGAATTCAATTGATCAATCAGAGTTTATCATTGCTGCTAGTTGCATCAATAAATTATTTTTCTATAGCTCACTATACTTTGTAGAAATTTACAAAAACCAAATTTAGATTTGGTTCAGATTATTGATTTGGCGGAAAATATATATGAACAGGAAGATACAATAAGAATGAATGTAGATGAATATTTTCATAATATTTATATAGACATTGAATCGAAGACTAAATTTTATGATATAACATTAATTAAACCTCGTCTAGCACCTGGGCAATTATTGAGATGTAAAATAAATATTGGCTCAACTGATATTATAAAATATCCATTTTCATCCCATTCTTAGAGACTTTTTATCGCAAATAAAAGTACGGTTTTTAGATAAAAAACAAGTCTTTAGCAATCTTCAAGTTTTATTACCCTCAGATCCATCTTCGTTTTCTAATGCCACTATTGGTAAAATTAAATATTTAGCAAAATTTTATTCATATGATATTGATACTGAAATAAATTTAATTAGTGAATTCGAATTGTGATATAAATATTTACTACATTTAGCTATTTTACCTGAGCATGCTATTGATGCGCTCAATCGATGTAAAAAAACCTTGGCTCAATTTCCTAATATTTTGAAGATGTTTAATATTCTTGCATGTTTGCCTATTATAACATGTACGAATGAAAGGACTTTACAACTAAAGAAGGTTGAAAACATATATATGAAGTACTACTTTCGAATCTCGGCTAAATGGGTTAGCTCTGTTAAATATCCACAGAGATTTGGTTCAAACGACAAACGAAATTCTTGATGAATTGGCAACATTCCCACGAAAATTAAAAATCACATTATAATTATAGTATTTAATAAAAAATTTTGTATAATATTGTATTTGATAAGAAGTTAAAAAAAACTTGTTTTTAAAATTATTTTCTGTTGTTAAACGTCTCGTTTTGAACCGATTTTTTAAAAACGGCTATGTCAGTTTTTTATCCAGAAAAATATTATGCTAACCTGAAAATTTTGCTCATAGAAGGAGCAAAGGTCTAGACATATAGTATCGAAATTTTGAGACTTAGTCAATATTTTTCTGGCGAAAATATTAAGTTAGCCGTTTTTAAAAATCGGCTCAAAACGAGCCGTTACAATATTTTATACACACTACTATTAGTATTTTCAATAAAAAAATTATATTATACTTATATTGTATGAGAATTTAAGCTGAGGCTAGTTTTTAAAGCAAATTTTATAAAAAAAAAATGACATTAAACTTTATTTCAACTTTACATTTAAAAAAACATTATTAAATATAATATACCTAACTTAAAATAATAAAAAATAGGCTTGTAATATCCATAAGCACGAATTAGTAAATAATAGTTAAAAATAGAAATATAATTATTATTAAATTATGAATAATTTAATAGAATAGCTAACACATCAGACCCGGCGGCGAAACCCCCCCCCCCCACAAAAAAAATATTTCCCCCCCCCCCCGCCCATAAGAAAATCCTGGATACGCCACTAATCGGTATAATGGTTGTTAATTTTTTTTGATATTATTAATTTTTTTATTGATATTACACATTTAGTTAATAAAATTGAGATTTTTCCAAAAAAAATATGAAGAAATTAATAGGACCAACATGTAAAATGACTTCTATATAATCATCCTTTTTTTTAATACTAATAAATTATAATAAATTGCAACTGTATTGAGCCGAATTGACGCCGCGCCGAGTTGACGTGGAACCGTTACTAACGTCGTTATCTTTTTTGAGTAAAAGGAACGCCATACGTTACTTCTTTTAGCGCGTTTCTTTTTTTTGAGTAACGGTAATGCAAAACGTAACTCGTTATTTTAAATTTTTTCTTAAAAAATATGGAAAGTATATTTTTTTAAATATTATTATTTGCCGAATAATTTTGTTTAAAAAACGATTTCATTTTAAAAATAGGAATAAGATACAATATAAACTATACCAAAATAAAATATATTTAAAAAAACAAAAATATATTAAAAATTATATATAAATATATAAAAATATATAAAAAACATTAAAAAGGGGAATGTCACCCTAGAGAGGAATGAATGTTTAAAAAATTGGATCGGCCGATTTCGAGAGAAATCAGCTTACGGACCGTTGGTGTCACCTATAATAAGCTTCCTTTTTACCTATTGCTTTGATAAGATTTAGAGCCTATTTTCCGAACATCCCTACCGTGTTATTGACTATTGGTATAAAGACGTGTTTGGTAAGGCCAGCTTTGTTAACGACTTCTGTCTGCCTTTCTGATGGCATAAAATTAGTCGTTGCAAAGTGTAGTCCCAGGTCAGTGGGAGACCTTTCGTCCAGAGGATAAAGGACATTCTATCTGGGGATATACCGTTTTCATATGAAAGTGAAATATTTACTTTTTTGAAAACAGCTCGAAGAATGTTGTTAAAGGATTTATGGCGGGGTTGCCGTTCGCGGGAGTTTACAGTGCAAAGGATGGTAGGCATTCAATTCAAGTTTGCACTTTGTAAGTGTAGATTATGCCCTAATTCAAATATTTTAACTTCAATGTCCAGTAGCTCAAATCTATAAAAAAAACATAAGTTAAAAATATGAATTCAGATTAAATTCTGTTACAGATAATAAAAAAAATTGATAAAAAAATTCTTGCGAAGATGTTCTAATAAGATCATTTTTTAAATTCTCCCAATTAAATTATTTATTTATTAAATATAATACAACTTTCCCATCCTACGCATCGGCTGAACATGTATTTAGCACAGTGAAATATGTGTTGACCACTGAGCGCTCTTTTTTATCTGATCAAAATTTTGAAAATCAATCGTATTTTTTTAGTTACGAGATACTTTTTTTAAAAACCCATAACGCGTTTCTTTTTTTCCAAACGTAACGAGTAACGCATGTCTTTTCGAGATGCATGTTTATACATTTTCAGCAATCAGATTTTCCAATTTAAATACGCTTACCTATCTTAACTTTATACAACTTGGTCGTTAACTTTTTTAGTTATTTTTAATTTGTATAAATTTATTACCTGATTGTGCATATTGTCGGTAACATACAGGGCGGTTCAATTGAAGTGGCACTCTTTTCCACCTAATCATAACTCGGTCAGTCTTTAAGATCTTTTTTACGAAATTTTACAGAATGATAAAATAACTTTCATAATAATTCTGCAAATTTATAAATGTTTCTAAATAAATTTAAAAAATATGCAACTTTATTTAAATATAAAAAAACCAAACGATTTTTTCGATACCAAACGATAAAAAAATATATGGTTTTTTTTTTTACTAAAGATGATTTAAGTTTAATTAAGCAAGAACGATTTTTATTTTGCCAAATAATTATTTCGGAATTCTCAAATAGAAATTAGTCTCTTTCGTGACTCAATCGGCTAATTCTCAAAATTGATACAACAGGATCAGCAACATATGTAAAACTTGTTGATACACTTGTAATGAGTCGAGAAACTAACTGGACACCCATAAAACGATTTCTCAAATATCCAGAGAAATTAGTATATCACAAACTTTAGTATATTAAATTATTCGTATGGATTTGCTACTAAAATATCAACTTGATTCGTGCTAAGAAACTTGTGTAAATTTAATCCAGGTTTGATTTATTTTATTTGGTTTACCGATGAATAGCTATTTAACGTACTTCGCCTTTTAATTATGCGAATGATAGGCTTTATGTTATATACGCCACAAAAACGAGTGAAGTCAACTCATTTTTTCAAAATCCATCTTGGTTTTGATGATGTTAAGGTAAATGGATCTTATTACAGATATATCTTATTAAAGGAGCACTTAATGCCCACAATAAGAATTGTCTGGCGAGCAATTCGCCATTTCACCGTGACCGTGAAATCACAAATTCATCTGCTATTTGGGTATTATGCAGGAACGTGTGTACCATACCACAATTAAGGAATTTAACCATCTTAAGGTAAGACTTTTGAAAAAATGAGAAAATTTTGATCAGGCATTCATAAACAGTGCCATGAAAAATGGACAAATCGTCTTCGCGCATGTGTACAAACTAAAGGAGGCCGATTTGAGAATTTTATATAATTTTTCATAATAATCTTCATTATTTTTATATTAAATCTAAACCTTAATAAATAAATGTGTAATTTGCGTTTGGTTTTTTTATTTTTAAATAAAGTTTCACAATTTTTAAACTTATTAAGAAAAATTTATAAAACTTTGCTAATAATAAGTTATTTTATCACTGTAAAAACTTAAAAACTGACGGATTTACGAGTAATTGAAAAAGGGTCTTGCTTTAATCGGACCACCTTATTACTTTTTGGAGTAACTAAAATAAAATCAGAAGAAAATACTTTATTTGCCATTAAAATATTTTAGAATTACCTAACGCGTTCCATTAACGATCATCTGATATGCACCCTCCTTGACTCAATTTTGCTTCCGGCTATCCAACAACCGAAAACTTCTAATCACAACCAATTATTATATAATCGCCTCTCCAAACTTATCCTGGATCATTTATGTTGTTCAAACAATTCTTATAGTCCTCGTGGACGTAAGGAGTTAGAGATGGATAATATAACGTTGGACGAGAGTTTAGTCGCCATTTTGCAACAAAATAGCGGAGATAATGATAGCCCGATCACTTTCGAATGGGGTAATATAGCTCTTCACAAGGCTAACATTACAAGGTAATATCCAGAAATTTTCTATCAGGTTTTTTTTGGCTTAGCCAATATTATTTTTACCCGGCCTAGCCCTAAAATATATTTTATACAAGAAGTCCGGCCTAGCAATATTTTTTTTTATGAAGGTAAACTGTCTAAACTTATATAATTATCAACTTAAAAGCTTTGGTCTGGCTCAAAAATTTTTTTTACCTTGCTCCCAGATTGGGCAGAACCCGATCTCTAAAGGTATTGACCCAATATCGATATCAATTGTCGTTATCATATAGCTTTATCTGAAACATTGTGACTTTTTAAAATAGTGTATTTTTTCATTATTAGTTAAGATTGGGAAATAACACTTTAAAAAAGATACAAGAAGCCAATTATGAAAAAGGACAGTTAGGTCTTTAAAAAAAAAGTATAAATATAACCTTTCAAATTTGATTTTAACATTATTTTAGATGTATGAAGAACTATATTAGTTGAATCGTTTTTTAAAACAATAACTATTTAAATATAACTAGACCTGTTCACTTATATCAGTGAACGATGTCTTATAGATTACACAGGACTTTATCTGTATAACTTAGCGGGCCCTTATAATTTTTCTTAAAATTAAATTTTTTTTCAACAACCCGGGCCTGATCATTTAGAACTCTACTATTATAATACAATAGGTTCGTGAAATTGGCGGAACGACTTGAGGATCAATTAACAAAACCTATGACAATATTTAGAGTCTTAATTTATCTTCAAACAAGACATCAGCGGAATCAAAGGTTAATGAGTTATAAGCAAAATAAGGAAAGTGTGAAATTTTGAAGCTTGCAGAACGATTTGAGGATCAATTACCGAAACTATACCATTGTGTACGTTAATCAATTAATCCTAATTGATCTTCTACCCTGACATTATCGGAATGAACCGTTATTGAGTTATGAACAAAATTAGAAATTGTTGGCACTTTACCAAAACCGAAAATATTAAAGATCATGTACTGAAACTTGGTAATTATCTAGTATTCAAAGTGTACGTTAATATTCTCCAAAACAGATATCGGTATCATAAACCATAACCGAGTTATAACCTTTTTAAAAATGTGAAGTTAACAGAATTTTTTTTAAAAAGTTAGAATCAATTACCGAAAATTATGCCAAAGTGTAGTGCTTAAATCAATCCTCCGATTTTATCAAACGGAATGTAAAAAAAGGAAAGTGAGTTATCAAAAATAAACCTTTCAAGGTCAAATTTTGACTTGACAAATTATGAAGGCATTAAAGATGACACTTATATCATATTTTAGTGTGACGTTGATAGTAAGTAATATAAAAAGTTTAATAGCCAAAATTAAAATGCAAAAGTTAATAACAAAATTAATAAAAAAATGGTGGTACACCAAAACAAAATCTAAAGCAACGACAAACATCCTATTTTTACCATTATTTAGTGATTATAAATTTTCTTTATGAGCTTAATAAATATTTCAAGGTCAAATTTTTACCTCAGAAATTATTGCACTGCCCTTCTAGAAAATTATATTTTATTTAATTTAGCCAAGTATATCGGCCTTTAGCTTTTGTACTTGTCGCTATATTTTGATCTGAGCCCAAGATTTTTTGTATAATATAATAGTGAAGGAATGGTGAATATCAGATAAGGCAATAATGAAGGTAATTTTATATAATTGCGATATATATTTATTATAAGTGCTGGGATGTTGTGTTCTAATTAGTAATTGTTGTTGGAATTTTTCGGCTTAAGTATCCTTGGGTATTTCATAGGAAATGTGTAATTGATTGCGACTTCATTCAATAGTCAGGTTGTTGTTTCTATGGACTGGCCCGAGATCAGGGAGGGGGTTTCTTTGTTTTGAACCCGAAAATGGATATCTCTTAGTTGGCTTGGTCACTAATGTTGTTGATATCGCTGGCCTCGTTGGCGTTATTCCAGGGTAGTTTCAGGTCAAAAAGCGTGAGAGCAGACCTATCTCCAATCCATGTTCTTGACAGCTCGTCGGTTGGATTGTCGATGGTGGAGACCCATTCAATGTTTTGCGAAATGACTGTAAAGTTTGCTAGCCCTACTTTCTCGAGGACTTTGCTTGGGGCGTACCAAAATCATGGTCGATTATAACTTTAAAATATTTGAATCGTAAATATCTCATTCCATGTATAATATCATACAGGAAGCTCTATAAAGATTATATAATATTTTAACTATTTAATACTTGAGTCGTTAATATCTCATTCCAATTATGATATCATCCAGAAAGCTATCGTTTTTATTTTCAGTTTTTTCATTCATCATAATTTGTTTTTTTTACTTCATTTTTTTTTCAATTTTTGTTTTTACCATATTTTTCTTTATTTGTAAACAGTGTTCAACTCAGAAGTGTTAAGGATTAAATGAATATACACTATATAATTTATGTATCAAATATTGATTTTTAATGTGGCCTGATAGTGCGCGCACAGGTCTAAAAGTAACGAATAATTCTATGATAATCACCCATGTATTTTCTTACTCTTACACCAATTTTCGATATTAGGGACGCCAAAATAGTGAAAAGACTAAAGAAATATCCCTTCATATGGCCTTTAATGACTCAAGTCTTCTCCAAAATTAACGTTACCAAACCTATTACAACAGAATGTGCTTTCTTATTAAGGACCACCATGTCTTACTTATTAGTGCATTGGGAAGGTGATAGAAACCCTTACGCCCATATATCGACACCTTTCTATGGTTTAACCATAGATTTGTTAACTACTTTGAATCAAGTTTGCCCAACATTCTAAATTTCTATATTATAATTATCATATCATATAATCTTCAATAGGAATGCATAAGGTATTTATTTAGTCTAATATTAAGCTAGTGGTTTTTTTAGAGTCATGCATCCTAAAACTTAGCTTAGGCCTAAAAATAAATACGTCTGGGTCAGGCTTAAAAAAAATTAATGTTGTCTAATTTTACATTTAAACGATGTTTGGAATTAGAAACTTAAAATTTTGGGTGCAGGCAGGTCTAAATAAAAATCAAGCCAGACTTAGGCCAATTTATTTTTTAATTTTAAAAGTTTTGTCTAATTAAATACCTCATAACCTGATTAAATTATAATTAATCGTTTTGAAATCAATTGTAACCTAACTTATACAAATTTAATCATTAGTCCAAAATTGCATTTTTTTTCCAAATAATGCATGGATAAAGTAATTAATGAAAAATTCATATGAACAATTTTTGTTTTTTTTATTTATTACAGGCTAATATTTTACCAAATCTATTTATCAACATACTCATTATATTACCTTATCTTCCAACCTTTGAGATTCACACCATTTTAGTGATTATATGGAACTATCTACATGTAACATTTTTTTGTAAATAACTAATAATATTAAATAGGTGAATTCAATATGTATTGATACAAGTGATTTTGATAAAAAGCGGCCAAGTTTATATTGTTATAAATGTATAATTCATTATATAAATAAAATAGATTTAGATGATGCTTCTTCAAAACTCTTCCGATCAATATTTCAAAAACATATAACAAAAATTGGAAAATATTATAGTCTCTTTTTTAAATAAGTCTCTTTTCATATCTAGGTATTACTGGCAATATAAAGTTTCCAAATTGTGAATCTTGTGTTATAAAATATGCAAAAGATGATTGGTGTGCTTGCTATATAACATTTTATTTATTTTAAAATATTATTTATAATACTTTCAAAGCAAGTCGCTGAGTAGGATTTAATTGAGTAAATTCATTTACTTGTTTCATAATTCCAACCTACATAAATTATATAATTTAAATAATATGATTTACCTGTATTGGTGATTCAATATTTTTTTGTAAGATATCAAGCCTGACAATAAAAAAAAATTATATATAGCACTTGAATTAATTTTTAAAATATGCAAATATTAGATATAAATGAGGTAATATATCCAGACACATAACCAGAAGGGGGACAGATTCCCACTTCTATCAAATATGCCTGTTCTTCTAAATATCATTTTAAAATAAGCCTGCAATAAGTGGACCTAAAGACCTCCAATAAAATTTATGAGGGGAAAACCCACCTAACAGTGCAGCCCCCTCGCCCTCCCAAAATTCTAGATACACATGAATATATCCTAAATAATAACTTCTTGTCATTTGGCTGCAAAGCTTGTAAGGTTAATTGGGACTTTTTTAATTGAATTTCCTCCAAAATTTTACGGTTTTGAATTTCTAAAACAAAATATTTAAATTTTCTATCTCTTAAATGCATACCTTGATTCATATGTTTTTTGAGATTTTTTGCAAAGTGATAGATGAATATTAATCAGAGCTATTTTTAATAAATTATTACTTTTATAAAAATTATGTTTTAGCTTTAATCCCACTAATTGAATATGATATTATCGCACAATAATTGTAAATTATTATATTTAAACCAATTCACTAACCCTAGTGTTTGCACTGAATCATATTTAGAGATCTGCAAATCACGTCCGAAACATAATTTCGGTTCCTGATGGGTCGGACCTAATATTTTTACTAAAAATTCAGGCAGGGCCGGGCAGGTCTTATTTTTAAAAATGATACTACATTTTGTCTAATATAGACACATTTTAAAATTCTTCACAGGATTTTCACTAGATGCAACCCCCCCCCCCCCCTTAAAAATGTATTCCTAACTATTTTTAATTTTAATAATATTCATTTCATAAATTTTAAAAAGATTAACTTAAATTATTTTAGTTATACGACTATCAAAATATTGTGAATATAAAAGTTAATTTTTAGATCACATAATATGGCATATTGTTTGGCATGAATATGAGTATGTTGAGAATGTCTAACCTTTTTAAATTACATTTAAAAGGATAGCAGAAATTTTTATTAGAAAATACTGTATGATTGTTTTCAATATATAGATTTGGTCGATGATCAGTAATATTGTATTTTAATAGCTCTATCATAAAAGTATTAATATTTACAGAAATATATTTTGTCCTATTTCATCTAAAATTTTGATAGATAACCCCTTAATAAATTTATACCCCCCTCCCCCCTCAAGAGAAATTAGATGCAAACTATGCCTACCCCCGCCCCTGATCATGTAGACGCTACTTTAATCTTTAGGCCTCGTTATTCCTCTAAATAAAAATAGATGGTGGGGTTTAACCTATTGCTACTGGATCAATATTCCGTCATACTCTATCTAAAATTATAGTAAAGCGTTTAAAATCATTTCAATCAAATGGGGTTTTGCGTCCAAAAGCTCCAGCAGACACAGGCCGAATGACGCTAGCTAATACAGATTCAAATTTAATATTACTAGAGAATATCTCAATAATTCCTTTATTTTTATTAAACCAAGTAATTTTATTACCATATTTCTGCAATAATATCCAGAATATACAAATTTCATTTTGTATAGTTATTCCGAGCCTTTTTAAAATTCTACGACAAATTTTGCCTTGGTTATAATAGATTCGATCCAAGTTTGAAAGCATTTATTAAATAACTGGTATTTATATGGCTTCAAGTCGGTGACATCTCTTTAATAAACAATATTCCGGACATTATTAATAATCTTATGTCCATTACAGGTTTACCTCTTAACATTTCAAAGTCTGAATTTTCTCTTACAAATTCTATCATCCCAATCCCTTTATACTTCCAAGGAACTTACTATAAACAGGATAATTCATATCACATAACAAATTAATTTATTTACACTAAACAAAGCAACGGGTATTCAGTATATGAAACGAAGATCAGTAATATATAACATTTATGTTGGGTATTAAACAATAGACGACATTCTATTATACATACATATACCCAAATCAAAATTTTTAACAACACTTAATATTATCTATATTTGTATTATAATGCCATCATACATGTAATTTCCACATTACTCATCTTGGTTCCCCAATTAATGGTGTCGCAATTAAGACTATTTTAGACAAGTAAATGAATTACCAGACCATCTAGCCTTCATTTTACTTAAAATTATTTAAACATGCTCAAGATCAATGATCATATATTCCATGAGATCAACCTAATGTTTTATGATAAAGATCTTCTATTCAAACATGATGTGATATATGCAGAATGTTGGAGAGTAGTGCCAATATATTTTCAGACAAATCGTGGCTCTAAGCTTCTTTTCCATGAAAAATGGCGGGATTGGTTTCCGCCCGCCATCCATCCTCTATCTTGCTTCTTTTATCTCCTTAACACTAACCATTTCAAATGTAATTCCTACTGCCATGATCTTGACCTAAACAACGCTATTCATACTGGGTGAGCAATTATCAACCTGGCCCCCTTTGGCGGACCTTCATCCGGATTTATCTCAAAAATTATTATTGTTTGTGTCAAATAAATTATTCCGTGTTATCTTCTAAATGTAGATTATTCTGATAGATATCAAACTACTCTTTTACTGGTGAGACACATGAGGGGATATCAAAATGTATCTTGACAAAGGAGTTGATTTGTACATAACCCTTTTCACCTTACGAGAAGTTGGTATGAATCGAGATTTCCCATATGCCAAACTCCTTTATAGAAACCTTCTTTTGAACGATATTCTGCTAAATCACCCATATTTCCCCAATATTGTAATTAGATTAAAATAGTATTTATTAATTTTCGGGAGGGGGGGGGGATACCTATAATTCACGGTCTGATAATTTACAATACTTGAGAATACGAAAGATTTGCCGGATAATGATGCTTGGCAAAAAAATATTTTCTTTTTATTAGCAACATATAAACACTTTTCAATCAATTTAATTTATCTTTTATATTCCAATATAATGTCAGATAGCACCGTTATATCTGACTCTAAAATTATAATTTTGTGATAAATAAATTCCAAAAAAAAATAATCAGTACCACTGCTAATATATCGCAGTAACTTTTTTTCTCTAATATAATATGCTTTCTTCATTTGTCTATAAATAATTTTGAAATTTTAATTTCTTGCAAAACTTCCTAATTTTTCACAATATTTTGACGACTCCAAGAAAACAATTAATAAATATATATCATACAATTAAATAGTTCTAAAAATTAACAGATATAGGAATTATTAATTACAGTATTCCCCGCTAATCATCTTATCTAACATGGAAGAATTGGCTGCAGCCGCAGCGTAAGCTACTGCCTTATTTTAAAATTATTTGCTTGAAGTTAACAATTTCTTATCTTTAGTTATGATTAGGATTGACAGTTCTTTCAAAACAAAAAACGGGAGTATTTAATCATAATTCCAAAAATTTTTTATATTAAATTTTTGCATAAAAAATATGCACCCAATATATTGTAAAAATCATCAGTACATAAAATAAATCTTACCACTCGTTAATAGTTGGCGCGAATTAGTGGTGGAGAATACAATTATACTATTTTTTTTAAAAAAGTCTATTTATTAGATTTTTGTTTTTTCTGCACGAGCATAGAATATCCTTGGATTTCTTCAAATTCGATGAAATATTTTAGAAATTTATTTAGAACTCCCGTTTCTTCATTAAATAGCATAGTATATCTGGGAATGTTTGGAAATTTTTATTATTTAGATAACCTGTTAATTAAAAAGGGAATAATTTTCCTAAACGATTTTAATATGTGTTAGTACAGTATTAACATTACATAAATTATTATTTCTAAATTATTGAATTTTTTTGATTTCTAATTGGATATATATCTTTGAGCCTTGTTGGATGTTTTTTTTTATGGCTGATACTAAATTTTGTATTGTATACTACACTACACCAATTGTATTTAAAATATTTTGTTTATTTTTTTTTATCCATGAATAGTGGTATTCTAGTTATTTATTAGTATATTATTTAAGTAATTTGAATTTATATAAAATATAAATTATGGAAAAAATAGAAATGAAGAAAAATATTAAACTAGGGTATTTCATTAAATTTATCAAAAATCATTAACAGTATATATGTCGTAATTTTTAAAAGGATCATAACTATCCGGGATCTTCACGGGATTTAAAGGGATAACTAAAAAATTAGGGTTTTAGGTTAAGGAATGATAATACGGTATTATCACGTTTTAATCGTGATAAAGAGGAATCTTATTTTAAAAGTGTTTTCCACACGTTTAATTGCGTTTTTTAATTTGATCGTTATTAATTAATTTTCAATGTTCTTTTTTTTGGCCTTATGAAATAAGATATATCTAATATAGGGTATAATCGATAGCATCAAAAGATCTATTCAACTGGAGGTCAATCTCTTCCCCATAATGGGCGGGTCTAGGTCTTAGGGGGACAGAAATATTTTTATCAACACAAAATATCGATATGGGTATCAAATAAAAAGCTAATTTTAATATGGTTTGACTGAAAGTCTTCATTCTTGGTCTTGCTGGGTATGACTTGGTCTGAGAGGTAGGGGTGGAGGGGGGGAGTGTAAAAAATATTTTTTTTTGATATGAGTATCAAAAGGTAATTAAAATATTATTTTATTGTAATAATAATCATCATTCATAGAGGGCGGGTCTAGGTCTTGGGAGGGGGGGGGGTGGTCAGGAATATTTTTATCAACACAAAATATTGATATGGGTCTCAAATAAAAGCTAATTTTAATATCTTTAGAATTAAAGTTTTCATTTTTTGTCTTGATGGGTATGACTTGGTCTGGGAGGGGGGGGGGGGGTGTAAAAAAATTTTTTTTGATATGGGTAGCAAATAAAAGTTTTTTTTGATATGGGTAGCAAATAAAAGCTAATTTTAATATGGTTTGACTGAAAGTCTTTATTCTTGGTCTTGATGGGTATGATTTGATTTGAGGGATAGGGGTGGAGGGGGGTGTAAAAAATATTTTTTTTTGATATGGGTATCAAAAGGTAATTAAAATATTTTTTATTGTAATAATAATCATCACTCATAGAGGGCGGGTCTAGGTCTTGGGAGGGGGGGGGTGGTCAGGAATATTTTTATCAACACAAAATATTGATATGGGTCTCAAATAAAAGCTAATTTTAATATCTTTAAACTTAAAGTCTTCATTTTTTGTCTTGATGGGTATGACTGTCAGACCCTCAACATATTAACAAAATGTCTAGTTGGATAGAATTTACAGAAATGATAGAGAATGAAGATAAAACAATTTTTAAAATCTTTTTTCGGTTCCAACCCTGAACTTGAAATATATAATTTGCAGTATTCTATTTTTAAGGCGTTATTCCATAGCTATTTTTTTTTAATTCGATAGCTTTAGCGTGCTATATTTTTTTAAAAGGAGAGATAGCGGTAGCTCGTTACTAAATAAATAGCAAAAATTATTATAATATATAATTAATTCTAAAATCATCAATGTTTTTATTTTATCTGTACCAAAATTATTTTCATTATCAATGTCTACTGTCGACATTAAATAAAAAAAATTTTTTTGAAAAATATATTTACAATGTATATTTTTTAATGTTAATTTAAATTTTAAAATAAAATAAAAAGATTATGACTTTAGAATTAATTATAAAATTATTATAATATTTTTTGCCATTTATTTAGTAACAAGCTACTGCTATCTCTTTTTTTTAAAAAAATGTAGCATGCTGCGATACTAAAAAAAATAGCTATGGAATAATGCGTTAAATATAGAACACTGCAAATTATATATTTCAAGTTCAGGATTGGAACCGAAAAAAGATTTAAAAAATTGTTTTATCTTCATTCTCTTTTATTTCTGTAAATTATATCCAACTAGACATTTTGTTAATATGTTGAGGGCCAGACAGTCATACCCATCAAGACAAAAAATGAATACTTTCATAAAGATAATAAAATTAGCTTTTATTTGATACCCATATCAAAAAAATAATTTTTATACCCCCACCCCACCCCCCAGATCAAGTCATACCCATCAAGACCAAAAATAAAGAATTTCAGTCAAGACCATGTTAAAATTAAGCTTTTATTTGATACCCATATCAAAAAAATATTTTTTACATCCCCCATCCCCACCCCCCAGACCAAGTCATACCCATCCAGACCAAGAATGAAGACTTTCAGTCAAACCATATTAAAATTAGCTTTTATTTGATACCCATATCAAAAAAATTATTTTTACACACCCACCCTCTAGCCCCACCCCCCAGACCAAGTCATACCCATCAAGACCAAGAATAAGGAATTTCAGTCAGACCATATTATAATTAGCTTTTATTTGATACCCATATCAAAAATAAATTTTTTACATCCCCACCCCCACCCCCAGACCAAGTCATCCCATAGACCATATCAGTCACCCCCCCATACATCCCACCTCCCTAGACCAAGAATGAAGTCTTTCAGTCAAACCATATTAAAATTAGCTTTTATTTAATACCCATATCAAAAAATTATTTTTACACCCCCCCCCTCTATACACCCCCCACCACCCCTAGACCAAGAATGAAGTCTTTCAGTCAAACCATATTAAAATTAGCTTTTATTTGATACCCATATCAAAAAAATATTTTTTACACCCCCACCCCACCCCCCAGATCAAGTCATACCCATCAAGACCAAAAATAAAGACTTTCAGTCAAAACCATATTAAAATTAGCTTTTATTTGATACCCATATCAAAAAAAATTATTTTTTACATCCCCCATCCCCACCCTCCAGACCAAGTCATACCCATCCAGACCAAGAATGAAGACTTTCAGTCAAACCATATTAAAATTAGCTTTTATTTGATACCCATATCGATATTTTGTGTTGATAAAAATATTTCTGTCCCCCCAAGACCTAGACCCGCCCATTATGGGGAAAGATTGACCTCCAGTTAAATAGATCTTTTGATTAGCTATCGATTGATACCCTAATTCTAAAAAATTTTAAATAATAATGAAAAATGCAGAATCGCTTTAAACTCTAATATCATTTTATATAGTTTCGAATAGAATTAAAAAAGTATATAAAACACTTAGGTCTTCATTAATGTTGTTAAACGGCTCAATGAGCCGATTTTTAAAAACCTACTAACTCAATATTTTATCCATAAAAATATAACTCTCGCTCATAGATGGCACAAAGGTTTGGACATCTATTAACGAAATTTCAAAGCTTGGACAGCCATTTAACAGCACTAGTCTTCACATAAGAATCATTTTTTCGGAAATTAGAAGAAAAGATTTATCATAATATTTTGATTTAAAATTATAAGGTTATTTTGTTCCTTTTTTTTTCTCTAAAAATGAAAAAGAAAATAAAATAATCACAAACAAGATGCCTCTAAAAATATGTGATTGAAATTCAAAATATTTAAAGAAAATAGCATTGTAAGTTTGTAGTTATACTAATGGTGTTACGCCAAAATCAGGAAGTCTGGCAATCCTGGTTATAATATATTTACTTATATTATTTTTAGAGTAATTTAAATTTCAAGGTTATAATGAAAAGGAATGATTAGTTGGACGAGGTCCAATTATTACATGATTTTTATATTTACACTTATTTTTTTTTTCATTATTAAAAAAATATTTATTCAATAGAAAATTAAAAGAAGGGAACCCATAATTTAAAATATTTATATATAATTTAATTTCTCATAATAATGATATGCTTAACAGTGACAATGATGGGACTGCTATTCGCTAGTTTGCACTTAGGAAAAGGCGGAATTTTTACTAAAGGTATTATATTATTCCATTTGAAGTTAAAATAGTTCTCTCGAATTAATTTGAGTTTATTGCTCGAATTTTTTATTATAATTAACTTGATAAATTTGAATTTGCCAGATATTTTGTACCACTTATAAATTTTTATTAAGTATATCTTAAGTACTTTTGGTAATGTTTCTTTTATTGCAGAACTAAAATGTCAAATTCAATAATTAAGCTATCTTGATTACCGCATTGTGTTGAATCTTGATGTTGCATTAGAGCAAAAGTAATTTTTAGACTACGGCAATTTTTGTTTAATATGTTAGCTAGCCGAATCGTTTTCTACCACAAATAGAGTGCCTACATTTTGAATTTATAATTTTACCTTGAACCTTTGAATTGGTTACCGTTAATATTAATTTTTATATATCGATATATCATTTAATTTTTTTTTAAAAAAAATACTAAAAAAAATTAAATGCTTTACTATCTGAAATTCAGTAGGCATGTAATCTATGCATGCCGGAAAACGACATGAACTCTGTAATATTTTTATTAGGGTAACATCAAATAGTTTACGTGATAAAACTCGAGCAAAATTTTTACTTGAAATATATATATATATAATAATAATTTCTCTAATAATAATTTGAGGAAACTATTTTGACTTGGTACACCATATTTCACCCTTTGAAATAATTTTTAATATAACTATTAATTACCCATTCAATCTATTTTGAAACAAATTAGATTTTGTGAATGTTTCCAACACCTCATCGGAAGATGTCCACATTCTAGATATAGTTAAGAAAGTAAACTCGTTTAAATTATTTGTTCATATCTTGAGAGTATTAGTAACCTAGAATTTTAAAAACGTCATTGCATAAAATTCTGTGGGTATGAATATTAATTTTTCAGTAGTGTGCTTTTTTGAGCTAACAAGGATTTTTGATGAAATTTGCTCTTAAAAACTTTTGCAATATTAATATCAAATAAATATGAAAAATTTTAAATTTTTAAATGATTCTTCAAAAATAATTCATGATACCGGGACCGTAGTGAATTGTAACGAACCGTTAAACCATTATAAACCATTATAAATATCAGAACCGTAACCGTAATTGAAGCGATATAATTATTTTTTGAAGGAGTAAAAAGAACCTTTATAAAAAAAGTTAACCCGGTTCAAACTGGTTTAGTTTTTATATTTTAGGAATCATTAAAAAAAATTGAATATCCAGAATTATATAAACTTGCTCTTATAGTACTGGCGGTTCCCGCAACACAAGTTTCTGTAGAAAGGGCCTTTTCGGGGCTAAAATTTGTGTTATCGTCACAACAAACAAATATATTACTTATAATATATTTTAAAATGAGTTATTTTGAATCTTATATATTTTTTTATATATAATTCATAGATGCTTATAATAAAAAGAAATTAGACGATGGTGTTGCTTCAATAAAAAATAAATTTCTATCCGTAATGAACCATTATGAACCTTTATAATTAGCTGAACCGAACAGAACCTTTGTAAATTTTATTAAAAGAACCGTAACCAAAACGTAACCATTATTTTTTTACATACTGAAACGTAACCAAACTGAACGTTATAAATAACGGTTCGGGTCCCTGTTAATGAATCAAGTTTATAATTGTTAATCATATTTAGATATATAATTCAGTAAATATCGCGACAAAAAAATAAATTAATGACTAATATCATTTTGAAATTTGGGTCCGTAGACTCATCCCTATAATGCTCTTGAGTTGACTACTTTTCAAAGAATTCTTTCAAGGTTTAGAAAAATTTAAGGGTGGGGGGATGGGGTGACCGAGATGTATATACTGTATATTATTTTATCGCTCATTTTTGTAATATTTTACATGATATCATATTTCGGTTAGACTATAGTTTAATAGACCCGACATGCGCGATAGGTTTTAATTTAAATATTACTATTGGTTAAGACTATATAAAAATATTAAAAAAGTTTAAAAATAAAAATATCTATATTTTTTATTTTTAAATTGATATACATATCATTAAAGTGTAAGTTTGATGGGGATTCCAAAAATATAAAGACTTATATATTTATTTATCAATTAAATGATCAATTATTTATAATAATTGTTCATAATAATAAGTTTCTATCTACAAAATAATTTATTTTTTTAATATAAATTCTATTGCGCATGTCGGGAAAACTCCTTAAACAATCGGCTCGCCCATTTTCATTTAAATTGCTTGTTATATAAGTTTTAAAAAAAATATATATTCTTTACTTTCTAAATTTAAAATATATATATTATAGCCACTTATAGATGATACCAATAGGAACATATCTCGAATATATCCCTATAGATTAGTCAATGTGGCTAAATTAAAAAACCATCCATCCATTCTCTAAAACGACCTAAGCAAATTTAATGTATATTTACTTTATTATTCGATACTATATATGTCATCTCGAGATCCTTATTGGACTTGGGCACTAGGAATAATACATGATCAGTAATTATAAATATATGTATTCACTTAACTTTATTTAATATTTATATATTAGTTGGAATTGGGCAGTAAAGCCTTTTTTCTTGTAATATTTTTTTTGTGTAACTTCATGTAAAATATAAATAACAATCCCAAATTTTGGTATACATTTTCGCTATTTATTTATTTTTCACAAAAAATATGAAGAAAAAAAAAATTAATACATATACTTATAATATCATTATTATTTTTTAAAAAATTGGCAAACTACTAACCAGGGATCCTAACCTAACCTTTAAACCGGTAATAATAACAGTTATTATTTACAAAACCTTAGCCGAACCGAACCCCTGAAAAGGTCTGTGAACCGGGTTGAACCATTTATTATCCCAACTCTTTTAAAATATTATAATAATCGATTATGATTGATAGTATCTATCATTAAATATTTTCAGATATTTTTTTTGTATATGGCTATTTGACCATGCCAATCACCCAAGTTAGCGTATAAGTGGTGTTCAGTGTTTTCAATTATAGAATTTATATCTCTCCTTATAAATTTGACGGAAGATAATATTGAAAATATTTAAATTGTATATGGTTTAATATTATTATTTTTAGGAGCCAAAATTTAAAAGATGTGCTTCAATTTTCATAATTCTAATAAGGTTTAAAAAAATTGAGCATGCTTTTTAGATTCAACCCGAACCCATATTATTATTTCCTACTAAGAACCTGAACCGTGAACCTTTAATTCAGTTGTTGAGGAATTTAATTTTTGACTATGACTTATCCCAATAATTTTATAATTTAATTTATTTTTTTCATATGTTAAGCTATTTAGACTTGCATATATTATATCATTTTAATATTTTTTTTGTGTTTATCATTTATTAAGTCAAATATTTTAAATGTTAAAAAAAAGAGATTTTATTTGTCATTTTACAAATATGTTTGACAATGATGAAATAAGAGTAAAATAGTGATATAATGAAAGGAGATTGAAAGCAAGAAGAAAAATAAATTAAGCCCGAAAATTAAGAAATAATTTTTATTGTTAATAAATACATAATTATAATACTATCGTTTTGAATGTAAAGTGTGTTGTCTTAGATATAAGTTTAAAGTCTTACCAAGAACTATCGAACAAAAGAATGGTCCAAAATATTGATTATAAAATTAATGTAGAGAGTTTCATATAATAAATAGCAAAAATCATTTAAATGTATGAAACTTAAAACTAAAATATGGTAGTCTATTTCAAAATCTGTTTAGCATGAGTTAAACAGAAATAAGTTTCAAAGGTACACGGCCTTAGCGCATAAAATAAAATCTTGAAATTCTTAACCTAGGACCAAAAGTGACAGGTCTAAGGACGATTACTATATTTTCCTTTAAAGATTACATAAAAACAAATAGAATTGGAAGTTCTGATTAATTCCTTCTTAAGTACAATATTATAGACATAGGCCCCATTTAAAAAAATTACTATGATCATTGACATTGTCGCATTAAAAATATAACTTATCCAGGCTGTATTAAAATTTTTTAGGAATTTCAAATTACTATATATTCATTCGTAATTGCCAAAAAATATTAAAGATTATGCACTTTAAAAAAAAAACTATAAAGACCATTTTTTTAAAATAATTTTGCATTTCAGATCTTAAAAAGGAATCATCTTTTTAGAATGTTAGGTTGACAGTAAGTTGACAAAAGGAATACTGTTAACAGGCTCGATTTAGCCAATTTTATAATTTCGGCTAAAATAATATTAAACAAGCCTTGAGATTTCGTTAATTGATATTCCAAACCTTTCTGCCATCTAAAAGCAAAATCCCAGGCCTACGTAATATTTTTTGGCGAAAATATTGGACAAGCCGTTTTTTAGAATTGAGCCGTTTAAAAACATTAGCCAGATATTAGAATAGGTGGAGTTTTTTTTATTGTATAGTTAAAATTAAGAGGTAGTGAAATCATAAAAACCATATTAGGAATGAACTGATTTATTTGAGTAAAAAAAATTGCTTTATTTATATCAAATTCAAAATTACAAAATTTGTGTTTCTTATATTGTGATGATCGATAAAAGAGATTTACTAAACATGCGCAATATAATATTTACAAAAATATTATGGACATTAATCGACAGATGCGCCCTATGGAACCCCTTTTTGTATCTACAGATACTTCATATCCCTGATACGAAATCATCTAATCTTAATAATAACTTTTCTAAGATTTTTCACTTCAAAACAAAATCATTATGGTCTACATTTCTATTCCTATCTAATATTCAGAACAGAACATAAAGTTTGTTTTTAATAATTTCTGATATTTTCTATGATAAATAAATAACAATTTCTTCATATATGAGGTTTATTTTAAACAATATTTATAAAGGTTGCAGGTAATCAAGATAACTGTAATCGAAAAGGTAAAAATCATCTTTGTAAATATCTACTAGCTTTAAAATTTGAGTTCTGTTCAAAGTGTTAAAATATTCTAAGGTCTTTAATCTATCAGTTCTAGTGCGCCTCTCCAGAGTATCATGTCTCAAAGTAGGAAATGTCAAGATATTTTCATCTCCAATACCTTTTATATGATTTGTATAAAGAAAAATAATTATACTATAATAATTAATATTTAATTAAGTTTTAAAATGTTTATTATATTTTTTTTTAAAGTATATTCTATAGCAGGGTAAAATGCTTTAAATGGCCATAGACAATTTCTCTCAAAATTATAAAATATGATCAAATAGATGAGTCTGATAAATAAACTGAGACATAAATGTTGGTTATAAATATTTAATTAAAATATTTAAAATTAAGGAATATTAACTTAAATTCCTTTAATTACTATTACATATACTATAATTGTAATATTTACTATTTATAATGAAATTATTAAATAAGATTAGATGAGTTTCAATTCGGCCCATGATCCCTGCATTATTTTAGTTTAAATTCTGATTCATATCTTATTTTACAGGGATCGTGCTACTAACTGATATTAAATCACTAAACCTAAAGCCTCCGGTATAAACCTAACCATTTGATCCGACCAATGGGCGGGCAAGCATTTAATCTCACGCGGTTATAATTTCAGACCGAATCAGACTCTTTTAAATAAAAAATCTTTTAGAGCAGATAAATTTTTTAAAATCTTTTCTCGGATCGCGTCGGAATCGAAAAATAGGGTCGATGCAAAGCTTTATTAACTCAATTCTTAACCCCCCTTTATAAAATTCTGAAATCATTTATTGTGTGAATCTTATTTTTTTGTCGCCTTTTGAGTTTATTTTATGAATAGCTTTGAAATTGCGACAACTGTGAATCTAGGGTAACGGAGGTTATTAAAAATATTATTTTATTTGGCTGCATTGCAAAAATGTATTTTTTAAAAAAAAACAAAGAAAAATTACCTTCTTCTGATCTATCTTTAGTATTAAATGATGTTTTACTCCTTCTTGTAGACGCCTCTTTGAGAATATATTTCGTGTCTGACTGAAATGTTTCATATCTACCTATAAAATGGTAAGGGGTGACGCATGGGTGACACATTTGAGTTATAGGTCTGTATAACAAATCGAAGTTTCCATTTCTCTCCTTGTTTTCGTATAGTAAATAATCGATAAATTCTGGGAAACTAATATCGTTACCACTTTTTTAAAATATTTTTTTTTAAATCAAAAATGTATATTGATTTAGAAATAATTTGTTAATAAAAATATTTCTGGAATATTCGAAACCATCACGTGACGATGTGAAATCTCATAATTTTAAATATATATGAGTGCGATTTTCAAATTCAAAAAAAATCGAATTTTTAAATTCAAAAAAATCTAATTTTTAAATTCAAAAAATCTGATTTTTATGGTAATGATGTATTCAAGCATGGGTAGACTTCTACCTTATAAAATGTCAGATAATTTTGGTCTGAACTGTACTCTTGAACTCCTAATTTATAATAATTTTTTTATATTAATAAAGAAGCACAATATTTTTTATTAATCGTCTGAAATTCATATGTAATTTATTGTAAACATCTTCATACATTTTAGGGTTAAATCAGGCACTAAAAATTTAAAAATAGCAAGTAGTAGCTGATATAAAATTGAGAGATTCCGAATATTGCAGATTAGTCCTTATTCTAGGAAAAACTTACTTTACAACATATATTTAATTAATTATTTTTAGTTTTTAAATTTTTTTTTACAGATTTTAAAAAATATTAACATTTAGAGTTCTTGAAAAAATATCTTTTGCAAATGGCAATTTCCTTCATTCATAATAATTTAAAATATTATTCTCACAGAAATCTAGATATTATGGAAGCGTTACGCCTAAATTTATTAGCTATCATAGATCCAATCTGTTTTTGATAATAATAATTCATCCCGCTGGCTGCCGGAGTAAATTTATCCAAATAAGCCGAAACTACCCTCTCAAAAGGGTGTCTGGTGAAGAAAAATGTTATAAAACGTTCGGCCAATCTTCCCACACACTCTTTGGACCAACCCTTAACGTAATGGGAAGATAATCGTAAGTTACCCCCATTGTGAGCCTCTATCATGGAAATGGAATCTGCTAAGTTTTGCGATGCATCTTTTGATGAATCTCCTTCATCACGATTAATCATTTCTTGAGTCCTGTTCGCGCATTTACTGTTAAATTCAGATAGAACCATTAACATTTTTAGCCAGTTAGTGGAGGCTACCTTGTAAACAATGCAATACAGCAAACCAAAATTTATGGGTTCGGCTACCAAGTTCTTGTAATATTCAAGAGGAGGGGGTAAGATCATCGTTTGATTGACATTTAATTTTTTCCTAGTCAGCCACACTTGACATTTTTCCCTTAATGAACGTCGTCTTGATTCGTAAACACTTGGCCATTTCTTAATAACGTATGTCGGTAACTAAAATCATAAAATGTTATTTATACTTTTAAAAAATTTTTATCAAATTTTTTATTTCTTTCTGTTGTTTTTTTTTCGGGTTTTTATTCAGGGAAAAAATGTTTTTTAAATAAAGTTATTCAAATGGGATAACTAGAATTAACAATTATTCGAAAATTAAGTGAGTGACAATTTGAATCGCATACCTTGTCAATTTAGCATTATACAGATATATATTAGACATAATAAATTTTTATGGAAAAAATAATAGAGTTATTCCCAAAATTTTTTTCTTAGAAAGTATCAATGTTTATCGATCACTCAATTTTCCGATAAGTCCAGTTAATTATATTACAATTGCATTAATTAATAAAAATAAAAATGTTTTGTGAACTTTGCCGAATTTCAGGATTTCTGTATCTTCAAGGCACGTATTCTTTTCAGCATCTGCATTTACGATAAAATGAAGAAAAGAATGTATTGACAATTAAAAGATATATCAATGATGCGCATATTTTAGAGTTCAATGTGTTTTTTCCGGCAAAGTCTTTATTTTTCAACTTTGAATCACTTTTTGAGCGCGTTTTTTGTTTAAATTTTAAAATCGAATTTTACCGGAAAATGTATGCCGTCATGTTTGGAATGCCTACCCTATGAATTTCAGAACAATATTTCCACGAACTTTTAAACTTAATATAATTTAAATTAAATTTTCCATATTTTTATTTCATATAAATTATGAATGACTCAAAGGTTAACAGCAAAATTGTCTACAATTCATATGATTGCATTTCCGGTAAAATTAAATTTTTTTTTAAATTTTTAAAAACGCTTTCAAAAAATGATTTAAAGTTGTAAAAAATAACACATTGCCAGAAAAAAACACATTGACGCTACGATATATACTACTAAATTGGCGAGCGATGCATTAATTAAAAGTGTACGTGTATATGAGTCAGCTGCAGCGCCATTTTTGTGGTTTGCACGGCGACTAATTTTCTTATTGATCATGATAATACTGCCTATTAATATCATTTAATTGACTTAATCGTAAAATATCGCTAACAGCTGACTCCTGTAAAATATATACACTTTTATCAGAGTTGTTAAAATATACTTTTTAAATGGATCTAGATACAGATACATCGTCTAAAATAATGTCTAGATACAGATATTTTAATCAAAAATCTATCTAGATACAGATACCACATTTTTTTATCGTATCTAGATCCTTTAACAACTCTGACTTTTATATACATTTAATAGATGAATCGTCAATCTAGTAGTATGTAATATATGCATCATTGAAATAGATTTTTTAAAAAAAATTTAAATTAGGCTCTCCCCGAATGATTTAAAATCCCTTTATTCCTTCCCTTTCAAGCAGAACCTCTAGATAGTGACAAATGATCGATTAATAAGAAATTTTTTACCGATTCCGAATTGAAATTATTTTTAAAAACCTTTCTTTATACCTTTTTAAAAATTTTCTTTGTTAAGGTTAATTATTTTAATTTCAAGTTTTTTGGATTTTTTTAAATTTAAACGTTTTCCTCATATTTTTTCACATATAAAATTAAGTATATTCCAAAAAGGTCGACAAATTTAAATTTTTACACAAAAAAATGTCCTTTTCTTAAATTTATTAGTAGGCAAAGATTTATGTTTCAAGATAGTAAATAAAAATTTTTTTTTGTGAATTCAGTTCATATTAATCTCATAATCGAACTAGATTACGATTTACATTTCATAATTGTTAATTTTTATTATAAAAATGGGCTTACTAAAGATAAATTAGATCGGGTTTTAAAATGATATCTGGTCCATCCAATTTTCGAAAATAATCAATATCTCGTTTTTTAAAACATATAACGTGCTGGTTCGGGCCTGGCAAAAAAATTTAACGGGCTATACCGGGCATCCAAAAGATTCTTAACGGGCTGTAGAAGACCGGGGCTTTGTAGATCTCTAATCTTTAAATCAAGCAAATGTTATACACTTTTTTTTTAACACGGTCCAAAAAGACAAGATATTAGCTTTAGCAAAACCATTGCTAAATCATAATTTTGAAAATAAAAATTTTTTTAACCTTTATTTTGAAAATTTCGAATCTTGGTTGTCATGCATGATCGCGCGGTATAATCATTCATGTATTCTTCTTTGAACCATATGTTGACATACATGAACAACGTGAAAATTAATGCTAGCAAAGAACATCTCCCCAGTGTGATATTCTTGAAACTTCGGTCCCTCACGTGACCAAAGAATTTTGAATATATCATTTATTCCGACACCACTATTATTATGTGTAGTGTATAATGTATTAACTCATCATTTTATTTTAGGTTTATCGAGATATGAATATGTAATTAGAAAATCGATATTAAAATTTAAAAAATTGATATTATAAATTTAATTTTAATTTAATTTTTATTATAACCTTATTTATATTTTTTGTAAACACGGATGCATGACCATCTTTTTAACCGTGTGACATTTATTGTTTATTGGTATTTATTTTATTTTAAAAAATAATATATAAAATAAAGGTAAGAATAATATACAACGAAATTCATAATTCTTATATTATTATAAACTAAAACATTGTACATACAAATAGAATAGGTCAATGTTTTATGAATCTATCTATTATTATATATATAATATAAAGAGGTTATAAGATAAATTAATCAAATTTGATATTAAAAATGAATTAAGGTAGGGAAAAAGGAGACTTGACTTCGACGAACATTTGTTTTCGCCAAATTCAGGCTTGATAACTTTTACTTATGGATAAAAAGCTTTCTTCAATAGTATTATTTTTTTCCCCATATTTTTTAACTGTCGAAAATTAATTATTCGATTATTCTTGAGCCTTCATTTAGATGTTTTTTAAAAAATGGTGTTATTTATTGTTAGGTCTTTTAACGTGACATTTTTAACTTTATTTATGAGGCCTATAGCCAAGTAATTAAATAGAAATTGGAAATCGTATGATAAAGTATTTAAATTAGTTTTAAATAATAATAGACTTAGGTAAAAATAAAAAAATAATGCGAGGATGGATGTACCGATTAAGGTTTCTATCAGCGGTATTCGCTGAAAAAATTATCTAGATCGAAAAATTAATAGTGGAACCTTCCCCTCAAATGGTTATTAGATTTTAAATGTGCAATTCTAAAAATAAAATGTGATTGTAAAGTCATAGTAGTCTTTTTCTTATTTAAAATGTAATAGTGTGTATCCTGGCTTAGGGCTGTGCCTGCAGATTTCTGATTTTTATATATATTTCTCCGCGAATTCGCCCTAACTGTGTGTAAAGGAGGGATTCGAATCTAATCTAAATCTAGCAATTAAACCATATCGTTAACCCATTCTGAACCTGAAAATTTAGTCAGCCTATCAAGAAATTAAATTAAAAAGACAATATATATTTGATTTGATGACCTGTATTGCCACTCTTTTACGAAGTTAGAAGCAATCTTTTGGGTCCTATGTTAATATACCTATTTTTTATTAGATATTTGCCTTGAGACCAAATTTTTCGAAAGTTGAGAGGAAAATATTGTTCCACTGTGTCAATATAATTGTCACATTTTATTCATTTTGTGAATATTAAATCTCTGTTTTAAGTTTGATTAGCGGGTTGATATAAAATTTTATCCTAGAAACTGGGCAGCTTTTTAGAGTAGTCTAATGACTTCGTCAGTTATATGACATTCCAGTTGGGCTCTATTGTGGAAGGTATCACAGCAGAGTTTAAAGCTCACTGGAGAGTTGCATAGAGTGTGCCGGGGATCTCGTTGGCTGCTCCTGCCTTGTAGTTAATATCTACCCGAATAGGTCAGTTTATGGCTTTCATATATGAGTCATGCATGAATTAATGTTCAAACATTTAGCCAACGCAAAGCTAAATATCCTATTATTGAATTCTAAGCCAAGGTTCTTAGATGGGATTGCTTTTCCTTTTTTAATTGACACTTTTCCTAAGCTGTTGCGACTTTTCCTTTTAATATTGACACTTTTCCTTTTTTGACTGAACCTTTTTCTTTTGATTGACACTTTTCCTTTTTAATCGAAATTTTCCTTCATTGATTGGATTCGGACTTTTTCCTTTTTTAATCGGATTTTTTCCTTTTATGAATGACATTGTCTGGGACTTTTTTTTTGAATGCAAAACCCTGTATTATATCATGCATAGACCAAATTCTATAAATAGTTGATAATCTAAATTATTTTGGAATTTTGGTGAAAATGTTATCACTGAAATTATAATCAAGAAATCATCTTAGTGATTATGAGTTCAAAAATTTACATTATAGAATTGTTCATGTAAATTCCTGATTTTCCTTATTTATAGACTAAAATTATAAATTAATAAACAATATATTTTCCTTAAAAAATGAATTTAATGAAAAACAATTTTTTTTAAAAATAAAAACTAGTTGTATATTTGGAAAAAATAAATTTTTTTTTTGATAAAAATAACTGTTTTCAAATATCTGGTTTGAAAAATTAACATTTATTTCTAGAATAACGTAGCTAAAAAAGTTTTTCTTTTGAAGTAACAAGCATCATGAACATATATAGTTTTTAATACCGCCATTAGCTTATTTAAAACATTTGCTAACTAAGATAAGAATATTTTCTTCTTCTAAATATAAATTTCAGTGTTGCAAAAAAATGATTGTTTAAATTCACTGAAATACTGTTTTTTTCATTCAATACAATAAATTCTATATTTTCCCAAATTATATAATCCCCTTTTAAATATGGAAAATATTTTTGAAGGCAACAAATCATACAAAGAACTATGGTGGTGGAATGAAGAAGTATAAGCCACTATACAGGAGAAAAAAGCCCTATATAAAATATGGTACAAATCCAAAAACCCAGATGAGAGGACAAAATACAAAATATCCAAGAGAATAGCTACAAAGGCGGTAGCTAGGACCAAAGCAATGGCATACGATGACATATATACTACATACGAAAAAGAGGCAAAATGAAATATATAAATTAGCCAAACAGCGAGAATCTAGGAATATAAACGGAGCTCCGAAAGTAATCAAAAATAAAGATGGGAAATTGATTATAAAGGAAAAAGAAATAATGAATAGATAGATTTCAGGAGCTTCTCAATTTTAATCCCCACATACTACATCTAGATGAACACTCCCCATGTCAAAACCTTATACAGCCAATAACAGAACAAGAAATAATCACATGCCTCAAGCATTTGAAAAACATAAAAGCTAGGGGTCCAGATGATATTAAAATAGAAAGCCTTAAAGCTCTAGGAGATGATGGAATGCCTTTTCTCACAAATCTGTACAATAAAATACTGGGAAAAGAAGAGATTCCTCAAAAATGGAAGCAAAGCTACCTAGTTCCTATCTTCAAAAATAAAGGGGATCCAAACAATTGTCAAAATTACAGGGGCACAAATCTAATGTCACACTGTCTTAAACTCTAAGAAAAAATTATAGAAAAAAAGGTTAAGATACATAATCGAAATAGGAGAGACTCAGTTTGGCTTTATGCCTGGAAGATCTACAACTGATGCAATCCACGCAATTAGGCAAATGAGCGAAAAATACAGGGAAAAGAACAAAAAGCTACACACGGTTTTTCTCGATCTAGAAAAGGCCTTCGATAGAATCCCAAGAAAACTTATCTGGTGGGCCCTACGCCACAAAAAGGTTCCCGAAAAATATATAAGAATAATACAGGATATGTATATGATTCATACAACAATAGTCCGTAGCACAACTGGTACTTCATCAGGCTTCACAATAGTCGAGGGCCATCAAGAGTCGGCTCTCAGCCCACTACTCTTCATAACAGTAATAGATGTATTATTACAGTCTATACCGCAAACAGTCCTGTGGAATATGATATTTGCAGATGATATTGTTATACTTGCCGAATCCAAGCATGAAATGAAAGAAAGTTAGTGAGTTGGATAAATATCCTAGAAAAGCACGGACTAAAAGTAAATAGAGAAAAGATGAAGTATATGGTGATAGGAGGAGATGAAGCAGAGAGCATTGATATAAATGAATGGCAGATATCGGCAATTGAAAGCTGCAAAAATTTGGGCTCTACTATACAAACAAACGGCCTAATAGAGAAAGAGATAAAGAGTAAAATTAATCAAGGGTGCTTAAAGTGGAGATCTTTATCTGGAGTGCTCCTTGACAAAAGAATCCCAGACAAATTGAAGAGAAAAATTTACATTTTCATAGTAAAAACAACTATTTTATATAGTTCAGAAACATGGTCAACAAAAGAATTAGACGAGAGAAGTCTACAAACTATGGAGATGAGAATGTTGAGGATGATTGCTGGGGTAACAAGAAATGATAAGGTGCGAAGTACAAGAATATTTGGAAGTTTAAAGGAAGTGAAGTGCCCATTAAGACTAAGATAATGGTAAACAGACTTAGGTGGTATGGGCACACAATGAGAAGGCCTATGAATATATAGGAAATAAGGAGTTTGAAAGTGATGAGTAAACGTAAAAAAGGAAGGCCAAAACTGAGTCAATTTGAATAAGTATAAATTGGATAAAAGAGATAGTACGAATAATATAAAGTGGAGAGATATTGAAGGAGCTTACAACCTGAAAAGGTGAAAGCTAAAAAGAAAAAAAAAAAATTCCTTTATTATTATAAATTTTGATTTCATATTGTTTGTAGCTATTTTGATTACTTCTTTTGAATTAAGGAATCTATTGTGTGTGGAATAACCCTGTGACCATTAGGCTTAACCTCTAACCCGATAAAAATAAAATGAATATCAAAATACTAACAGCGATAAAACCCGTCACTTTATTGGTTATATCATTACCAATATCTTACAAAAAAATTAGAAAATAAATGATTAAATATTTAATTAATAACTATTGTTGTTATTGAGCTCAATGTTGATAAAGAAATACAAAAGAGAAAGTATAATATCATTTATTTTTTGATCATGACATGAGTATTTCAGGTTGAATCTAAATGTGATTATTCTATTTTATTATGCTTTAATTCCAATAATTGAATTGATTTTAGAAATCATCATTTAAATTGCATTTAAATTTATGAGCCTTTGTGCTTTTATTTTAATGCACAGATTGATATCGTTGTTGCTTAGTTTTATTTAATTTCTGTCATTTAGATTTACTAAATTTAATTCAAAATTGTTAGCTGTGTATGAGTGTGCCCATTTTAGGCGCATCATACATTTCAATTATTCTACACCTTTGCAAACTAATTGTATATTTTTTATACCAATATATTTATCTCTGAGCTGGGCCGTTGGGCCTAAAATTTGTTTTATTTATAAATACCCGGGTCGGGCCTTTTTTTAGGTAACCGGACCGGGCTGTTATTTTTAAACCAAATATTTTGTCATTATTAGCTCTAAAAATTAGAAATAAATATAAAATCGGGGCCAGGCCTAAATATTTTATTTTTAAAAAAAATCCGAGCTGACCCTGAAAATATAAAACCCAGGCCGGAATGGACTGAAAACAGATTTTCAAGAAAAATCAGGGCCCGGACCTTAAATTTTTTTAAAAAAATATATAAAAATAATTTTAAATTTTAGCTTTTAAAGTTGATAAATAAAATTTTTTACAAAAATAAAAAGTAAGCAATAAATATCTTCTATATTTTTCAAATTATAATAGGAAATGGAGAGTTTCGAAATAGGTATTTAAATTAAATAATAAGTATTAAAATTATTAGGTAGTAATTAGAGATTTCAAAATTAACATAACTTTAAAAAAAAAATTTAATGGAAGATTTTGGACACGTTTTATAATAATTTTTATAAAGGCAAGTAAGCTTTGAAATTTTAAGGTTTTACTAAAATATATTTAGGTCATAACCTATAAAATGGTTTTATTACAAAATACACGAAACCTCCCAAAAGTTGAACATAGGTAAGAAATTATATATGAAAGTTCATCATCACACCAATAAGGGCAACATATGTTCAAGGGCCAAAATTTTATAGGCGTTAACTATGTTACGCCCGTCAATTTCACCCCGGTCCCCCCTATTCATTTTTTTCATTACATTATGATTATTTAAAAAAATAAAATATAAAAACGGAAATGCGAAATACAAGCTATAAAAAAAATAAACATAATTATTTTAAAATAATAATTTTTTTTTTATTTTTAAAATTTTTTTTTTAATTTAGGTTCTGATATTTGACAACAGTTGGTAGTAATTTGCATTTTTCTAGACTCACCTGGATAAGCTAGTTTCCAACTCCTTCAACTTCCAGTTACATGCATTCTAGAGTCTAAACCAGACAGCTACGGATTCAAGGAATTATATTCCAGGTTCAGTTAATAGCTGATTAGTCGTGATTTAGGTTGGTTTTGGTTCAAAAAATGTCAATCATATTTTATTAATATTTATTTTTGACTAGATCAAGTTAAGGTTAATATCTCTATCGACCGGAAGAGCCAAATTTTGATAATTATTCAAGATTAATAAGCAAGATCATGTTATATAGTGAATTATAATTTATAGTAATCTAATAATTTTTATATGTATTTAGTCCAGAAGCATATGCAGCAGAGTGCGGGGGGGGAGGGGAATTCCACCCCTTCCCCAAAGCTAAAAAAGGTTCAGATGCTAAATATTACTATTTTATGACTATTAATTTATATTTTATAATCATTATTCCTGTCTCTTATCGCATATATATTCCAATTTACATATATTTATCATATTTACAACAGAAATAAAATCCATACTATTTTATTCTATGGATTATTATCGATTTCAAACTTTCCTTGGCGTTATATATATCTACCATTTTAAAATTTTCCACCAAATCATTTGAAACTTTATCCCTGCAAAACATAGTTAAAATATTTCAAAAAAAAAGATATCGAAAGCAATATATTGGAACTTAAGGAAATTCAAATTAGGGCAAATGTAGATGACTAAATTATATGTCATTGTTAAGTCAAAAGCAGAGTTCTATAAATTGAATATTTGTTTAACTGGACTGGTAGCAAGGAAGCCCATCGTTCCAATATTAATGTAGGGTAAGTCGGAGAATACTATATAATAAAATGCTTTATCACCCCTCTATTTATCATCTTGTTCGTTATTACAGCAATTCCTTTGTCGATAATCAAGGTAGTTATAAGTTCATCATCCAGTTCCTTTTTCGCATAACTTTTTCCAAAATATTAGCCTTTTCTGTAGGTTTTTACTTCCCATTTCTGGCAAAAATTTTCAATTTAAAAATATCCTGTAAAAACAAATTTTTATTTATATTTTATCCCTTTTTTTTTAGAATAAAAATATATAATTTACCATATCAGCTATTATGTCTGTACTACCTATATTATTTTGATAAAAAATTATATCTTATTTATATTTTGTCTCTCCTTTAATAATTAATTGTACCAATCAAGTCTGCATGACCTTGTTATTTTGATAAACATTATACTAGATATAGTCTATAAAATATAGTGTTAAATAAAATTTATTACATTAAAAAAAGGCAATAGTTAACAAAAAAATATGATTTTTAAAAAAAATATTACAGAATTGTTATTGATAAAATATATATATTTATTTTTTGAATAACCCTTTGAACTATATAGTCTAAGACTTCTCTGTTAGTACCTTTACCCCAATACTACCCTCTTTAGAATAATAACAAAAAATTAGTGTTATTTCACTTTAAATTTTTTATGTTAATAAAATTTTTTATTTTCATATCCTTTATTTTTGTTTTAAATTTTTTTTTATATATATAAATCGCAACTAATAATTTAAATTTTTTTTAAAAAAAAAGGTGCGTCTAATCTCCACCAATGAAGCTTACACTAGTAGCGGTTATTTTAGCTTGGAATTTCCTTATCACCCTTTCAGGTAAAAAAAATAAATTGAATTGATATATTTATGGCAGTGTTGTTAAAAACGGCTCGATTTTGAGCAGATTTTTAAAAACGATTAATTCAATATTTTATTCAGAAAAAAATTACGCAAGCCTGAAAATTTAGTTCATAGATGGCACTTACCATATATCGTTGAAATCTCGAGGCTTAGGGATTATTTTTCTGGCTAAAATATTGAATTTTTTTTTTTGATAATATTATATTTTTATTCTAATCATACTTAATACTAGTGTCATTTATTTTTAAATTAAAAATATATATAGAAATAAAATTAATATTAAAATTAATATATCAAATATAAAATAAAATAAAACAATATTATATAAAAACGGAGGTGGGACTACAACTTCCAAAAAACATGAGTAATTTTACTTTAAAATAGAATTCTACGTTTTTTAAAATAGGCTTAGATCGAATCTTTTAACAACACTAATCTATGGTATAGAAAATATATTAAATTGGCTTAACCTTCCTTCAACATTCAATATAAAAGTTTTTATCTAATCCATCTAGTGTTGTTAAAATAGATTAAGACTTGTGCAATATTAATTGAAGCAAGCCGCGAGATTTCTGTCCAAACCCTTCTACCATCTATGATCAATTTTTTAGCTAAAATATTACTATAGCCGTTTTTAGTGGACAAAATAAAAAATTCGTTTAATTTGTAATATTTTTTGTTAGATTCTACTAATTACGATCTGTTTAAAATAATTATACAAAAAGTAAATCAACCAAACATCCATCTTAAATCTAAACCAATTCCATTTTTTTTATAAAACTATATTGGTTAATATGTATCAGAGACCGGAAGTGATAGCATTTGCACGGCCCGGTCCGAATTTTTTCTGCCCTACCGGGCCCAGGTTTTATATTTTTAGGCCCAGCCCTGGTATATTTAAAAAAAATTAAAATACGGCCCGGTCCGGCAGGTCTTAGATATATATATTAAAGATGCTATGTTTCTCTTTGGGTGGATCGGATATCGATCCTATTCCTTCTATATCTTGTTGATTTGCTTATTTTTATTTTTAATACCGATATATTATAAATTATTTTAAAGAGCTGTTTATAGTAAATGTGACGCCTAACACGCTTCTTGATGCAAATCTTAGATTCACAAAATTTTGAGGAAAAAAATAACAAAATTCTCTATTACCAGTTTTCCTCTTGGGTGTGTGTGTTTTTTTTAAATCAAAGAGATTTTTCCACCATTAAATTTTATATAAAAGGAGGTTATTATTATTTTGTTATATACACAGATGGTTCGTTGAATCAGGATTTTAGCATAATTGTATCCAAAGATTTGGATTTAAATGAGATAAATTTTGTCCAAAAAATTTTGAGATTTCTTTAATATAACACCTTGTGGTGTTCATCGATCTTTCTATCTCTTAGTTATGATATTAAATTCTCCCATTTTTCATAAATCCTCTTCCCCACTGGTAAGAGTGGCCTTTTACTATCAATAGGGGGGGGGGGGTAGGGATAAGGGCACAAAAAGGTTTGGGAACTCTCTTTATTAAGGTAGATACTTGGCAATAATTTTAACAAGGGTGTTCTGGTATCATTTTAGTCAATGGTTATGGACAATTGGTGGAAGTTTTTTTTTGCTAAAGAAACCAACTAAAATTTTTTGGTATAGAAGGAAATTGATCATTTAAAAGGGTCCCAACTGAATACAATGTGATGACAATATCGAGGAGACGTCAGGTAACTTGATTAAATCAAAAATCTTTAATGAAAAAGATAAGGCAAGAGAAAGCTCTCGAGAGCGGTGTAAGATAGTGGTTTAAGATCTTAAGCATCTTATTAGGCAAAAGCGAGATCATCTAAGAATTATCGGACAGATCAAGATTAGTGAAACACTCGAAAAAATATTTGTATTATTTTTGAAAGCTGCAAGAAATTGTAAATGGGTAAAACCCGGTAACATATAAAATATAAATGAGATCTTTGTTAGAAAAATATTTTTTTATAAGATAAAAAAATCTGGCCCTCAATGTATGAGATCTTTTAAAAGAATCCTGACAATTAGTGAACATAAAAATATGAGGTCCTGAGTCGAGGTAGTGAGAAAGATGTCTGTGTCTGGTTGGAGGGGAGGGATAGAGCAGATCTCTTATTTATCATTGTTTAACTTAAGACCCAAGTGGAAGGGTGACATATCTTTTCTATATTATATAAAATATTTCTAAAAAATAAGAGTGTCAGGTTGAATCTTTACATACAATATTATATAAATAATATTTAACTATCCTGTCATTATCTTTATTATTTCCAAACCCCAAATTTTAAGAGATAGGTCTGGGCGATTATTATATCACATCTGCCTTCAATTCTTACCCAACAAAGGATAAAGAAAATTACCTATTTTCAACTTACGCGGTCAAATTATTACTCTCTACTATGTTGAAACAAGGAGGTGATGAACGAGTTAAACCCTCAAGCTCTGCGAAAAATAATTATAATGATACCAGTAGTAGAAATGAATCACGACGAGTATTGAAAAATATTCAACCACATTCAAAAATAATACGAAAAATATTGAGATTAAAATTGTCACAGATTTTGGCCATTTCCGAAGAACGGGGAAATGTAAGTGACCAATATAAGGATAGGGCCAAAAGGGAATATGCCCTGAATGTAGTGAAAGTGCGTTGCGGTAACACATCAAATCAATTTGATAAGGCAAATAATGATACATATGAAAATTTCAATGGTCTTTTCAAGAATGTCTCAAATGGAAAAATCAAAAATGTCATTCCTAGGGATGCTATTTGCAAAAAACTACATTATAACTCCTCTTCTATGCTAACGATTGGTGCCGGCTTTCATATAGAACTATTGTGGGAAAGCAAGTAATTTTTTAACATAATATATTTTTTTAAAATATTTTTTTTTAAAATTAATTTACACAACAATATGACTAATAGGATGGAAAAAAAAGTTAACATTCCATTTCACTATCTAAACCCTAATGTTTCCAGAGGAAAGATTCAAATAAAATATTCTGATTACCTAAAAAAGAGCATTAGTATGACCAAAAGGATCTCAATGGCTCGCCAAAGTTATTATAGTCCTCTCAAATTGGCTGTGCTAGAGATTTTTCCCAGGATAAAAAAAGTTATCGTTACAAAACATCCACCTCCAATAAGAATGAATAAAAATATATCACATGAAATACTGAAAACTCTTAAAGTAAAACGAGATATCCAATATGATAATGATGACGAATATGATGAGGAAGCTGATGGGATATATTATTATGATGACTCCATAGAGGGGGATTATCCCGTGGATAGTAGTAATACATCGTTTTTGGCTTTAGAAAAACATTTGACCAATTTGATAGTCACTGATCCCGCTTACAACAATTCCCTACCTCACCCTATTTTAGATGATAAAATAAATACTTCCGACTATGTCGACGATATGTCGTCTATTAAGCGAAAATTAATGTCGGACTATGATGAAACCGACTTCCAAGAAATACTGCACAATAAATTAAGTCAGGACCTAACGAATTTTTACTACAAGAAATATAATATTTCTCTCTTCTTTATAATGCCAGGTTATAAGACATCTATCAGCAAAATCGAAAGCAAATTAGCTGGCAAAATAACATTACTGAAAGACATTATAAACAATCATCATATTACTCAGACAAAAAGGCCAGGCCTAGGTCAAAAATATATGAACATAACTTTTCCTACGAGGCTACAGTCGCATCTTAGAACATCTATAAAATCCATCATTCATGACAAGTTTTTTCTACCTCATAACTTTTACATTTTTAATTTATTTATCCACATTTATGTGAGAAAATGTTTTTTGGGGGGAGGACTCCAGAAAATTACTTCACCCCAATCCAATATATTATAACCCCCCCCCCTCCAAGCTAAATATTTTAAAGATATATGGAGCCTAATTTGTACTACCCTCCATTCCCCGTTAACTTGCAGCGCCTTTATTGTTTATTTAACAATTAGTTTAGATTAATCCGATTTTACTTCTACATTCACTTCTGACTTGTGTCATTTCTGAATCAAGTCTTAACATTTTCATGGCATTCTTACCTAATCCCTTCATATTTAATCTCTATATTTTTCGTTTTTTTATCTATCATCAACTTCTTTGCATTATCATATACTCTTCTGATGGTCTTCTTACCACATGTTTGAAAACCTTATTTTATTCTCTATAACCATCATCTTTTTGTGCATCATCCTACTTTATAATTAATTATTGCTCTTATATGTTATTATTCCATTCTCGCTGGTAAATTTTAATTTTTCTTCTATTCTGATCTGAACAGCGTAAACACCATCTTAATATGTCTTGTGGGTGTGTAATATACCCTTCTATTCTCGGTTCACTAGGTCTCTTTAACCATCTATATTAACCTCCATACCTCACAACGAAGATATTGTTGTTCTTACCGATCTGAATCCTGATTGATTGTCACATGGTCATAATATTTTGTAATCTTACGCACTATCACACTTTTATAACGTGCTTTAGAAACGTTATTTGTTTATAATTATTGTAGTTAAAAAAATTTTATTTAGAAAATGTGAATAATAATTTTTTCCTTCAAATTTTTACTATTATGCTCTAATTTATTATATTGATTTGTAATAGGCTTCTAGATTCTGAAATTTAAGTGATAAGAATTAACTTAAAATCTGTCATATTTTTTTTTAAATGTTGCATAGTTTACGAATGATTAATATTTTTTAATAATTAATTAAAATTTAATCAAAAAAAAAACTAATATATCTTTATATCATCATCAAATAAGATTCCACATATCTACTATCCCATTAAAATCCATCAAAGACAATGTTTTAGATGACATCTATCTAAGTTCCTCCATATACCTTGCAGATAAAATTAGTAATAAAAATGTTAATAGACGCAAAGACCAATATCGGTATGTGATTAAAAAAATTAGTTAATTCATATATAAATGCCTAAAATTATGTTAATATTTATTTATTTCAACCAAAAATAAACAAGGTTGCTAAATGACAATATTAGGAATGAAGGACATAATGACACCCGAATAATAAAGTTAGGAATTCCTAGTAAACCTATGGACTTCTTTTTGGGGATAAAACCCTTCTTTTATATGTGTGTTTATTGGCCAACCAATGATATTCTGTTTTTTGGGAAATATACAAACCCTCACGAGGACGAATGAAATCAAAACAATCTCTTTTTCTTCTAAAATTAGCTTTAAATGATACATAATTAATAAATTTCAATTTCATTTCATTGCGCATGTTGTTTTTTAAACATTAATTATAGTTTTGAATGATAAATATTTTTTTTTAATAAAAGACTTCATCCTTACCGTTGTTTCACCATAAGAAATATTACACTAATCTAAATAGCAAATAATAATACAAATGATAAGGAAACACTTATCTAGGTGGGGAAAATGTATTTCAGAAACATAATGAATCTGAATGAAAATTCGGAATATTTATTACTCATAAAGTTTTGAAGGAAACCTGGTAACACATGAGTAACCCCACATAGATGGCCTTTCTTTATGTCAGGGAGCCAAATTGATCCCATCAGGGGTTAAATTATTAAGAAGTTAAAGATCTGTGAATTCGGCCTTGTGTTCTAGAATTAGCAAATTGATTGTTCTATATCCCCAAACGGGGCCTCTAGAATTAGAATAAAAAAGAAAGAGGAAATTGTTATATAAGCTATTTATTATCTATTTTTGTTCAAATATTGAAACATTATAAGCACTTAAAACTTAATAAGGAAAAATAAAAATTTGATTTTAAACTTTTGCATTTATAACAGAAATCAAAATTCGTTATTTTTTTGGGGTCATAAATTGCATAGGATAATTTTACGAATTAGTAGGATGTTTTATCTTATTATTATGTAAATCGTTAATAAAAGTAGACCATATGAATTTGCTTTGTTTAAATTTAGATTATAGTAATAGAAAATGTTACTTTTAAGAAACTTTTAACTTTATAATAATTCATATTTACAATTTCTTATTTATGATTTTTTTTATATAATTTTTTTGTTACAATATTTATGCTGTAAATTTTAAAAATTTTCTCTATTTGTTAACTTAATATTTTAATAAATTAATTTTATATTCTTAATTCTTTTATTTTAATTTTTGGTAAATATCTATGGTTTCTCTTCTATAACAATGACAATATAATATTTATTTTTATTTGTTTTTTTATATCATAGACCATTGATATAAATATCTTGAAGTAAGAACAGGAAACGACACCTTGAGGTTTAACTTTTTTTAGTTTGATTTGAATTTTTAATATTGTTATGACTTGGTCATTTTATTATTTATCGATGACTTTATGTTGAAACTTGCTAATATAATATTTAGATTAATTACTGAAAGAATTTATTAATGGCGTCGCTTTAGGGGGGGGGGCACGCAGGGGCTCGAGCCCCCTGCTAAATTTGAATAGCAACCTGAAGCAAAATTTTTTTTAAATGATATCCTAACCCCTTGAACTAAATATAAATTTTTTTGATTGCCCCCTGAAAGATTTCTTTTATAATTCTATTAAGTAAAATATAGATTTGATTTTATTATTTAAAAATTAATAAGACTATCTAAATATTTATTAAATGAATACTATTTTAAATTAGATTAAATTAATAATTTTCACTATGTCAGCTAGCAATCAAATTTTATGTTCAAAATATAATATCAATATCACTCACTAAATATTAATTTAGCATTAACAGTTGAAGCTTAATTGACTATTATTATTTAAATTATTTTATAACCCTAATTAAATAAATATAATCATTTATTAATTGAAAACTAAAAAATTTAATATTGTATTTAGCTGAGTTCAAAATGACTAATCAACTGTATATTTATTTTTAAATTTTATTATCATACCTATTCCTAAAAATATTTTCAAGGCCTAAATAAGTATAATAAAAAGTAAGTAAGTAGACATATAGTTTATAATCCTTTATTATATACAGTTGATTAGAAAATATTAGATAAAATGCCACTTTTATAGACGTATTTGACAGTTATAATATATTACAGCTAATATTATAATGAATTTTACTAATAAATGCTTTTGATAAAAAATATAGTAACAATTTGCTTTTAAGTATTTAACGTCTTCTATTTAGTTATAAAATCTTTTAAAAATTAAACATTTTATAATTCATCCTACAATAGATGTAATAAATTTGATATCTTTTCTTTTCTTTTTTACGATAGGAAAGCTATTTTTTTCTCTTTCAAAAAACCGTTTTGAGTTAAATTCTATTACAAGTGTATTTTTGATATTTTTACAAACTACTTATATTTTAAGATATAATATACCAACTAGAGGTGGTGCGAGGCGACAATATATAAAATCTTAATTGCATCATATTATTCTGGTCCTTATTTTATAGTTCCAAATTTTGATTTCTAATAAAGCATCCTTGCCGTATAAATAACTCAAGGCTTCAATATATTTGCACAATTATTTCTTCAAAAGATTTTTAGTGTTTTTATTTTATCAATTTATCCAACATAATAAATTCTGATGCTAGTTTACATCGTGAGTGTCATAGCTATTACTGCCCAGCATCTATTATTTGTGTTGCTATGTAATTTAAGATTATTACTACAATGGCTGAGAACATATGATGCATATTTTAGATTAACAATAATGGTCAAATGTGTAGTCGTTTATATATTATATATAATTTAAAATGGATGATAATCTTTTAGTAATTTTCTCGATTACTTATCTAGCCATCATGTCATCTAAAAGGAAGCTCTAACCACTCAATAGTTTTATGATTTGGATTGATCGTTTATACTCTCTTCTTCAAGAATTTTTGATTAGGTTTAGGCCTAAAACAATTTCCTTATTAGTCCTTTCTATAAATGTGTAAAATGGTAACAGTTTGATAACATTATGTCAATGTAAGTTGCTAGAAATTATATTATTGCATTATTTGGTTTTGAAAATCTATTATCAATTGAGGCATATGTATAAATTAATTAATCTTTTTTATCACTTGTAATTCTTTAGACGTAAAATTTTTTTTATATCAGCAATCGAAAATATTTTATACTGTAATAAATAGATTTTTGTATTAAAAAATTTTATTTTTAGAAATGTCTTGTATTGTTTTAATCATTTATATGCCAGTTTATTTTGTATGTATAATATAATAAATGAGAAAATTAAAATTCAGAAAAATTGTTCAGAATTAACAAATTTAAGAAAAGTATAATATATTAATATAAAATCCGGCCAAGCAAAAGCGAGTCGTAGGGCCAGCAAGATGGGGGGCATGGGGAGCGAAGCCCACTATAAAATATTTTTAGTTAAGCCGCTGAGATTGAAAAGGCCAGACACGCCACTGATGAGAATTAGTTTAGGCTGTAATATTTTAATCAAGACTCGTTGCTTAAGGACATTGCACAACTATTTTTAGTACCTGGATTGCTAAAAATCACTATATAAAAATTTGACTATTTTACTCTAAAATTAAAATTATTATATGTCAGTCATTATATGACAGTGATATGATTTCTCCATCAGTTATCATGTCTGAATATGATCGTGTTATAACAACAAAATTAAAAATAAAGGGACATAAAAGGTAACTCATTTAATTTTTATTCTATAGTGCCATTTTCATAGGAAGCGAAAGCAAAAATTATCAGAGAATAAGAAACCTGAAGAGGATCCTATTGATGAAGAAATCAAGAAATATGGTAAAAGGAGAAATTTATTTTATAATAATAAATAATATTTATAGATGGCTGGGCTCAAATCAATATATTTGAAGATATACCAGGTTCAGTAGCTCTAGAAATTTTTCCAAAGACATATGTATCATGTCTCACTACTGGATTATTTGGTTTGGGGATCACTCACCCTGATGGTTAACCAATATTTATAAATTAAAAAGGATATTTTTGCATGCTAATTTTTTTTAATATCTATAATTTAAATTCATTGAACACATTTTTTTAGTCTTAATTAAGTCACTGATATTTTTTAAATCTAGACATCTTTTATGCTAATTTCAATGTATATAATTATTTATATTAATATATAAATTCATATTAAATATAATACATTCAAATTTTAAATATTATTATTTAATTACCTCTTTCTTATAGCTTTTTTGCCCTTAAAACTTTTACTTATATTTTAAATCACAACTTTGATAATATAGGAATTTAGCAAATAATTATATTTTTGTTATCCACATCTTTTACATAATTTGAAATATGACTTTAGTAATCACCACATTATTTTATAATATATTTATGTATAATTAAGGTGAGGGACCTTTTCCTGAAGAAATATTTCTAGCCACCAGGATATCTGACAGTAAATTAGCTCTCAAAACAGGATTTGGTAAATATTTGGGTATTGATCGAACTGGCAATTTAATTGGGCGGGCTGATGCAATTTCTACCCTTGAACAATGGGAACCTGTATTTGAAGAAGTTTAAATGTTATTTTTATCAGTGTTATACAGTAATTTTTAAAAGTAATGCATTCCTCATAACTTTGCAAAAATAAAAGAATATCAAGATTTTTTTTTGCTCATTTGTCATTACTTGAAAAATAATTAAGAAAAAATAAGTTTATAAATTGTAACTCTAGTTTAAAAATCTACCCCCTCCCCTCACAATTGACCTGCTTAAACATTTTCAGGGGGTATCTATTATATTTAAATCTACCTTTATTGTATTTTCACAGGGTAAAATGGCTCTTCTGGCAGCTAATAATTGTTTCCTATCCTGTGCTGATGAAGAACAAGAGATTTTTAAGTGCCTTAATTCCAAAGCTGGACCCAGTGAAATGATGAAAGTAAGTTAATAACCACATGTTCCATTTTTTTATTTAAAAAACTCTTATTTTCTTATCTAATGACAATTAACATCCTCACTATTCTCCAACAAAAATTCAACAAGGATTAGTTTGAACACAAGTTCTTGCAAAGAAAATAGAAAAATATATAAAAACCAAAACTTGATTTATTATAGAATTTATATGTATTTTTTTTTATTGAATAATTTTGTCAGAACTCCTGAATAGGCTATAGAATGGTTAATTTTAAAAAATCTTGGCTCAGCTTAAAAATAAAATTAATAATAATAAATCTGGAATTTGCCAATTTTTTTGAAAATATATTAAATTATATCAATTAATCAGTTGGAAAATTTAGCATTCATCTACCTCTCATATTTTTTAATTTCTGTGTATTTTGAAACAATTTTTTAAAAAATGCAAACTACCTAAATTATTTTAAACTTTCTTTCTTTCTTGTTTAAAATTTTGACCTAAGTCTTACACTTTTTTCTTATATATCTAATGCCAAAGCTGTGAACCAAACCCTTCCAACCCTCGACATTTTATTGAACTCAACCCTGAACCCTTTTTTAAAATTTAGTCTTCGAGGTTCAATAACTTTTTTTAAAAAAGAAATTAAACTTTTATTTACTTTAAAAAAAATTATATAAAAATTAAATATAAAAAGCATCTAAATTATTTAATTTGTGGAAAAAAAAATTTGTGGAATCTTTCCTCTTTATTGTATTTCAGAGTACTCCAATTTTGATTTTTTTATATAGTAGATAATATAATTGTTAAATATTGTTTTAAAGTTATTTATATTTTTGCCCTTAAGGTTATTTTTTTTTATTATATTTTTTTTAAAGTCCCTCTTTTGTTTAGATTTAATTACATTAAAATTAAAAGATGACTCTTGTGTTTTCTTTTAATCAGGGGTTTTTCATTGCTTTTGGATTTCTTAGTAAGGTTTTCATTAACTATAAATTAGGTAATTAGGTCCCTGAGATCATCCTGAATCCGGAGATATAATTTGAGTTCCAAAAACTATATGGGGGTTGGTTTTATCCCAAATTTTATAAGATAAAATTAACATAACTCCTCTTCGCAAAAACGTTCTTTTTCACTTTGCGCCAAGTTTATTTTAATTTATAATTGCACTTTTTATTTTACCTACAAAAGGGACTAATTTTTTTGCTTATCTGGATCTTACCTTTTTTTTAGTTTGTAAAATTTTTTATACTTAATTAATTGCGTTTTATAAAAGTCTATTATTTTTACGGTCTAATAAAATTAATATTGAGTTTTTGTAAAATGTTTATAGTTATAATTAATTGTGTTTTATAAAAGTTTATTTTAGATTATTTTTTGTCGTTTAATAAAATTATTATTGAGTTAATCATGACCCTCATAAGATCATAAGAGCTAAAAGGATCCTTCAGCTACTATACCAGTGAATGATATTACAATCAATAACGGAGGAAAACGGTAAATTACCTTTTAAATTTTTTTTACAAGTCAATATTATTTTTTTTTTCTCACAGTTTATTAATATATAAACAGAAGTATGTCATAATTTTAATTATTTTTTGTTATCTTAGTTCGAAGATGAAAGTTTTCGGTTTTTACTTTCTATAATTTAGCCCCAAATAGATTTAATATTGTTTTATACTTGTTAAATACCTCCTGATATAAATAAAAGCCTGAGGAATGTCAGATATTTTGGATTTATCCATTCGCATTATCTATATTTATAGAAATGGCTTTTAATTTGTTAGAACTATAATGAAGTGTTTAATGTTAAATTACTCTCATATTTCCAATTCCCTCTTGAAACAATTTTCCAGAATGCAGCTAAAAATTTTAGAAATTTTTTTTAAAAAAATCAGGCTGATAGCCATAAATTGACAGGAATTAACCAAAATCTGTGGAAAAAAAATCCCAAAAACGAATATTACCACAAAAAACAATGTTCACCTATTTTCACGTTACCATGTGAAAGTGCATTAATCGAAATTTATTGTAAAAGCAAAATATTTAAATTTGTAAGCACTATAACTCCATTTCTATTATTCGAAGACCTGCAGGAATTTTTTATAAATATACCCAATATTTTAAATCGCCATTATTTATTACCTATAAAAATTAATAATAATATAAAGTATATTTTAAAAAAATAAGGCGGGCCTGACCTGGCTTGAAAATATATAACTCGCAAAAATCGAATATTTACATAATATAAATGTAAAATATATAAATACAAGCTGAGATCAAACTTTGTTAAAAAGGAAGAGAACTTGATCCCCAAGGAGGAGCAGGGCCGTGCCAAGGATATAGAATTGAACTACGTGTAATAATTTATAATATTTGTATATAAATTTCAACGTGTATGCCTTGATTAGATAATAAACAATTGATAAGTTGGTTTATGCTTTTTTTTTAAAAAATGAAGTTACAATTTAAATTATTATTTCTTTAAATAAAGGCAAAAGTTCCAAAGTTTTCAAGACAGAAAACTGAGAATATCTAAGGAAGACGTTAAGCAAATTAAACTGGCCAAAACGCAGGGCACCATGCACGAAACATTATTGGATAGGTTTATTCTTCAATTTTATATAATATTTTTTGATTTGGTACACTGCCAAACTTACAATATTTATCCTAACGTCTATATTCTATTCTAATTTTAATGCTTCTTTTTAAATGAAAGAGTCAAGTAATATTAATAGGGCTGTGTCGACCCTCAAATTTTTTACTAATCAATACTTTCCGATATTCTTACAAAAACTGATCAACCGAATACTGATATTCCATGATAAACCGATTCATCTGATATCGATATTTGATTTGCATGTATCTTTGAAACATTATTATAAACAAATCAATTATTTTTATACAAAAGAAATAGCCAACTCTAAACTATAGCCATGACAAGTTAGACCTTGAAATTTTTTATTTCTCTTGGCCAAGGTGTTAGTTGATGAAGTATCATGAATGATTAAGTGTATTTCGTTGTTTTTTTATTCAATCTCCCTAATATCTAAAATAATGATAATATTTATCGCCAAATATTATTAAATCCTTTTCTTGTTTCAAATAAAAAATGGTATCATATTTTTTTAGATACTATTTCTTTTATAATAATTCTATTTTATTTAACTATTACAAATATATTGATTTTGGTTCCTTTTTATTCATTTATTATTAGAAAATTATTTATAAAAAAAAATTGAATATAATTATATATATATCCGAGACCTGCAGAAGGGTCATTGCTTCATGGTTATTTTTAAAAAATTATTTCGGTCCGGCCCAGGTTTTATATTTTCGGGCCCAGCCTGGATTTTTTTTGAAATATATTTTATTTATTTTTAACTTTTATAGCTAATAATGGCGATTTAAAATATTTGGTTTTAAAATATGCGGCCCGGCCCATGTACTGAAAAATTTTTTAGGCCCGTTCTGGGTATATTAAAAAAAATTAACACAGGCTGGGCCTGCAGGTATCTGACATATATATAAACAATAGTAATATCGAATCGGTTTTTCTTAAATAATCGTCTGATCTGTAAAAAAATATATAATATCAGCACAACCCTAATAATTACACATTTTAGATGTGTAGAATCAATAGATTTGTTAACTGTTAATTGTTAATAATTATGACCCTTTTATCCTATAAGGTGTATTATCCTTTGACATTTGACATGTATATTTGGTTAGAATAATATTTTTTTTAAATCAATATTATTATATTTATTTTCAATTACCTTAATTATTAGATATATATTTATCGCAATTTTTATTTTTTATTCTATATAATTATTAGCCTCGTTTTATAAGAAGAAAGGAAATATTTTTTTAAAAAAATTAATTCCCTAGAAACAAAAAATAGAAAAAGGTAAAAAGAAATTTTTTAATAGAGAAATGTAAAAAAATATATAAAACCAGAACCTCAAAATATTAAATTTGAAAAATAAAAGAAAGAACCGTTTAAAATTGATTATTTATTAATTGAGCTAAGATATGTAATAGGGATGTACCGATGCCACTTTTTTGGAGGCCGACTATATTAAATTGATATTGATCGATTATCGACCTAATATTATATCTGATTGGGTTCTTTATACATATTTGATAGTTAATGTGTAATGTACTTATCTACCTTTGTATTATATCTATAATTATGCCACAACAATACTGAAGATTTCTTTTCAGAAGGGACGGACTTTCGATTTCACCAGTTTCACTAAGAACAAATTCTGATAATACTCTTAGAGTGGGTTTTGCTGATATTAATGAGCAAGTTTAGAAAGAGTTTAATATTTATATATAGCGTTCACTGCTCAAAGGATTTGCTGAGGTATTATTTTTTACTTTAAATATTGGTTCCTTAAGATAATTTTGAATGTCAAGGGAATAGCGATTTTCATTAATATTTTTTAACTAAATTTGACTCTTCATTTGCTTTAACAGCATCAGCATTAGATCCTAATTGGGCCGGTTGAATTTATTGCTGGGAATTTCATCCATGTCCATATTTTGCTAATACTGTATAAAATAATAAAATTTTTAAAAAAATTTGCATTTGGCTGAATGAATTAATTTTCTTATAGGAGTTGCTGCTACTGCCTTCTATAGGTAGTTTTTGCCTTTAAAATATTAATTGAATTGAGCAAAAAAGATTGTCTTAAAGTGGCCGGATCCAAAAATTGTTGCAAAGAAGTAAATTTTTCCATTATACATATAAGGAAAACGTTTAGTAAGGTTTTTATACATCATATCTTTTATTATCTGGACACCTTTATCATTTATGCTCAGCATGACTAGCGTAAAGTATTTCAATGAATTGAATTACTGCACTAATGGAGGCATTTTCTTCAACTAATTTCTTTTGTAATGCGTTTAATTATTATTATATTTTTTTTCGCCATCTAATTGACGCTTAATGTTATTGAGTATCTCTTGATAAATTCATTTGAAAATATTTTATACACGGATTTTTTTTTTAGTTTGCACACAATGTTTCATTAAACCCATTATCTACAATACAATATGGGATGTTTATCTTAGATTACCCTATGGTTTTAAATGTAACTATATGACTTTAAATCTCGACTATTTGATATCCCAAATTTTTTGCTTATTTGTATAGTCTGGCAATGTCATGATGCTGATTCCCCCCCCCCCCTATATCTCTAGCCAATAAAATTAAAAATGTGTAGTTAGGATAGGTTTCAAGATGTTCTCTAATGGTAGTGTCGTTAGCAGTTTTTAAAAATCGGTTCAAATCGAGCCGTTTAACAACACTAGTTAAAATCATTAAAGCTGTTTTTATTTATAATACTATAAATTAATTTCAAGATACAGTATTTCTAAATTGGGGTCTGAGGAAACTCCAGTTAGTGCATCATAAGATTTATTTTCCACTTATGCGACAAAGGGTTAAAAACTTTTATTTTTAATAGGGGAACCCCTAATATCCCATTTTTATAAAAAAAAGTAAAAATTTATTTTTTTACAGCTAATTTAAAAAACCACGTAAAAAGATATCATATTGATATGATGCGGATTGAGAACAGAGAAATGCCAAAACATTTAGTTGGTATAAGAAAACTTTTACCAGAGGAGAACACACATTTAAATAAATTAATTCCTAGATATATAATTAAAAATAATATATCTTTTAATTCCATGAATAGTGATTCCTTCAAAGATATATTTTCTTATATATTTAAAAATGAAAAAATTTGGACTCGTCAAAGGGCATGTAAATATATTGAAAAAATATATAAAAATTCCAAAAAAAATCTTATCACTAACTTAAAAAATGTTAATAGTAAATTAGCCATAACAACTGATATGTGGACATCGGTTAGTTCTTCATCGTTTTGTGCGATTACATGCCATTATATAAATAAAAAATGGAAAATGGAAAGTTTGCTTTTAGATTTAATTGAGTTACCGTATCATCATAGTGGTGAGGATATTTTCCAATGTTTGTTAGAATCTTTGGATGATTTTGATGTCATGACAAGATAATCTCAATCACGCATGATAATGCCCTTAACATAATAAGAGGTGTTGAAAAAAATAAATATCATTTATAAAGAAAAATATAAAACAGGCGAATACGGCCACCGTTGTTTGGCTCATGTTATAAATTTGATAGTTAAAGAAGGATTTTCAGACCTAGATAAAAAACTAATTAAAATAACTAACGTTGTAAGGAAGCTACATTCTTCACCCAAACTTTTACAAAAATACATGCAGCTATCTGGTGAAACGAGGATTCCGTTGGATGTGGTAACCAGGTGGAACTCAAAATATATAATGATATCAACAGTGAACAAAGTATAATTTTTTAATAATGTCATTTATATTCTTCTGTTATTATTATAAAATTTTGACTAATATATAAGGGGAACTAGATCTAGTAGAAACGTTTTTTTACAAATCCCAAACCATAATATAATTATTTAATTCAAATTATCTTTTGTTATATAATATTCAAAGAATATTATATATTTACAATTTAACTTTTTTAAGATATAACATTGCATAATAATATATTTAATATAGAATTTAGATTCAATTAAACAGATAGGAAAAAAAATATATGGCAGAGACTTTCGATATAAACAATAATGAGGCAAAATTTTTAAACGAAGTGGGAAATTTTTTAAACATACTTTATTCATCCATTAAGATATAAAAGTTTTCTTGATCCGAGTACATAAATAAATTTCGAAATTGTCCATTATATTAATATTGGCCTTTTGTCAACATTCACACTATTAATTTTGGTGTTAATCGACATTAAGTAACAATTAATATTCTAAATGGATATATAAGTATAGTTCTAAAAGAAAAATAATAAATATGAGCTTAAAGATTTTAGGCTTTCCCCTATTATAATCCGTTGTCTTTTGATTTAGTTTAGGTTTTTAAATTTTTTAAGACCTAAATGATTAATATTGATTTAATTTTTATATTTACCTTTATCAATTTTATATTAGAAAAAATCTATTATATGCCATTATTTTTTAATAATATCATATTTGCTACAATTTATATAAAGTTACCAATGAGACAGTCAAAAAAAAATCTAAGAATTTATTAATATTCTTTTTACGGTTTATATTTTTAAAATAAATTTAGCCTTTTCAATATTAAAGTTTATTTTGTAAATATACAATAACACAATACAATAAATAATATAAAATATATTTTATTCTGTAAGACTAATATCCCAATTATTTAGGCATATACAATATTTAAGGATTGTTCCCGACATCCTATTTCGCTTCTTTGTCAAAAAGTCTACTGCCTTGCTAAAGACTCTCTCACTTGGAACGCTTGTCGTTTGTTGTGCCAGGAAATCCTTAGCTATCAACGACAAGGTTGGGTAATAATCACTGTTTTTAGCCCACCAATCAAGTATATTGGTTGAAGCTGATGCAACCGGTTCCTTGATATATTCTATTATTTCATCTCCCATGAGATCAGGAAATTCATAAGCCTCCCTATAATTTATAAATTAATATAACCAAACATTTATAATTACTTATATTCTATTATTTCATCTCCCGTGAGATCAGGAAATTCATAAGCCTCCCTATAATTTATAAATTAATATAACCAAACATTCATAATTACTTTCTCAATTCGTCATGCATGCAAACCGAATATGGCTGTGTTTCCATATCATCTAATGGCAACTCATATACCTTAGCCTTTTGGGTTGGCCACCCATAGTCTTTATAGAGCGATTTTAAATTTTTATTGTATTCCTCCTTAGCAATAAAATTAGGCATATATTTTATTTTAGTTTTGGGATCTAACATTGTAGCCACGTAATTGCTAAATGTGCTCATGAAGTTTTTATATGTTTCACATTTTATCAACATTTTTCTTGCCGCATTTTTAATATCACTATCAGGATGATTTTTGGAAGCCTCGTCTAAAATTTTCTCCATCTTTGCCATAAATAAAACTGCGGTTCCAATTGTAGTTGTATCTGACGATATTTCCAACGTTATTTTATAGAATGGTTTTAAAAAATTTTCCACTTCGTTTAAAAATTTTGCCTCATTATTGTTTATATCGAAAGGCTCTGCCATATATTTTTTTCCTATCTGTTTAATTGAATCTAAATTCTATATTAAATATATTATTATGCAATGTTATATCTTAAAAAAGTTAAATTGTAAATATATAATATTCTTTGAATATTATATAAACTTAAAAGATAATTTGAATTAAATAATTATATTATGGTTTGGGATTTGTAAAAAAACGTTTCTACTAGATCTAGTTCCCCTTATATAAGTCAAAATTTTATAATAATAAAAGAAGAATATAAAAGACATTATAAAAAAATTATACTTTGTTCACTGTTGATATCATTATATATTTCGAGTTCCATCTGGTTACCACATCCAACGGAATCCTCGTTCCACCAGATAGCTGCTTGTATTTTTGTAAAAGTTTGGGTGAAGAATGTAGCTTCTTTACAACGTTAGTTATTTTAATTAGTTTTTTATCTAGGTCTGAAAATCCTTCTTTAACTATCAAATTTATAACATGAGCCAAACAATGGTGGCCGTATACGCCTGTTTTATATTTTTCTTTATAAATGATATTCATTTTTTCAACACCGCTTATTATGTTAAGGGCATTGTTATGCGTGATTGAGATTATCTTGTCCTGAATTTCAAAATCATCCAGAGATTCTAACAAACATTGGGATATACCTCACCACTATGAGGATACGGTAACTCAATTAAATCTAAAAGTAAACTTTCCATTTTTTATTTATATAATGGCATGTAATTTCACAAAACGACGAAGAACTAACAGATGTCCACATATCAGTTGTTATGGCTAATTTACTATTAAAATTTTTTAAGTTAGTGATAAGATTTTTTTTGGAATTTTTATATATTTTTTCAATATATTTACATGCCGTTTGACGAGTCCAAATTTTTTCATTTTTAAATATACAAGAAAATATATCTTTGAAGGAATCACTATTCATGGAATTAAAAGATATATTATTTTTAATTATATATCTAAGAATTAATTTATTTAAATGTGTGTTCTCCTCTGGTAAAAGTTTTCTTATACCAACTAAATGTTTTGGCATTTCTCTCTTCTCAATCCGCATCATATCAATATGATATCTTTTTACGTGGTTTTTTAAATTAGCTGTTAAAAAAATAAATTTTTACTTTTTTTTATAAAAATGGGATATTAGGGGTTCCCCTATTAAAAATAAAAGTTTTTAACTCTTTATCGCATAAGTGGAAAATAAATCTTATGATGCACTAACTGGAGTTTCCTCAGACCCCAATTTAGAAATACTGTAACTTGAAATTAATTTATAGTATTATAAATAAAAACAGCTTTAATGATTTTAACTAGTTTTGTTAAACGGCTCGATTTGAGCCGATTTTTAAAAACTGCTAACTCATATTTTACGCAGAGAAACCGTAGGCAAGTCCTTTTATTTTATCATTTTATTACAACTTTTGTTAAGAAAGTGAAAAAGGCGAGAAACTATTTTAAAATGTCACAATGTGTTATAAAAATATATAAATAAAATTGAGTTTGCAGAATATTTAGTATCGTATAAAATTCAACCCTTTTCATTTCAGATTTTGATAAAATTTGCATAAGGATGAAAGTATTGTAGTTGATGAATCCAAAATTTTAGACCCTCTATTAAAACTAAAGATAGAGGGCTTCAAACAGCTCTCTAGATCTATAGTTCTAATAAGGTTAAATTTTGGATACACCAACAGCACTTTATTTACCTTAGAGACTTTTACCTATATGCATAATTTTTTAAAATTGTGTTGTGAAATGAATGATTTTATATGGATACTCTTTTAATAAAAATGAATAAAATTAAGTATTTATTTAGCTTAATATATCAATACCAAAACAGATAAGAAAAAATATCTACACAGATGACTAGGTGGTAGCTTTAAAGTAATATTATAATTCACCAACAAAATCAAAGGTAAACCCTGGGGTTTGGCAAACCACTTAATCTCATTTTAGAACTAAATATACCAGAAGGTTAAAATTTTATCCTAATATAATTTTTATTAGTTTACATCTAAAGGGCAAAAAATCTTTTGAAATAATTAATTATTGAAAAATTTTATTTAAGAAATAAAATATTGATGAAATTTTCAAAAGATTTTTACATGACATAATTTTATTTTTTATTAAAATATAAATTAAATTTTATAGCAAAGTTTAAACACTCTTCTATAATTTGGAAAAGTTTCATGAGTATTCATTATATCAAGATACTATTTTAATCATGATTTGTCAATTTAGAGCTAGCGGGGTTTGCTAAACCATACATTAGAGATTATTTCTGTCAAAAAAATTCCAAAAACTTTAAAAATAACGATTATGACAATTGTCTCTTATCTAGAGTACATCTTCACTGAAATTTAAATTTAACATATTTACACTATATAGTTTTACCTATTTCCGTCAAAAAACTTTAAAAATAACGATTATTGTCACATATCTATTGCGTCAAAAAATTTCAAAAAACTTTAGAAATAACGATTATGACAATTATCACAAATCTATTTTACATCTTCACAGAATTTTTAATTAAACGTATTTACAATCTATATTTTTATCTATGTGCGTCAAAAAATTTCAAAAAACTGTAGAAATAACGATATTGACAATTGTCACTTATCTAGGGTACATCTTCACTGAAATTTTAATTTAACATATTTACAATTTATATTTTTACCCATTAGCGTCAAAAATAAACTAATATGTTTAAAAATACAGATTATGATAATTGTCATTTTTAGAAAGGAACATCACCATTGAATTGAATTTATAATTTAACATCTTTATAATATAAATTATATTTTATCATTTTCTGTCAAAGATTTCATAAATGTTAAAAAATAACATGACACTTATCACAAAGACGATCATGTAAAATAACTTATAAAAGTTTAATATAAATATTTAAAAATAAATTATTTAAACTAGTTCAGTTCTTATATACCAAAAAAATAGATAATTTTACAAAAATGATAAAAATAAACCTATAAATAAAAGATTTCAACTTAAAAATTGTTTATTTATAATAAAATTTACAAAAGAATTAATAAAAAAAGTTAATTAACAAAAAAGAAAAAATCATTTAAAATTCAAATCAAATCAAATTTTGCTTAAAATTTGGGCGTGAAAATCACTAATTAATTGTAACAAAAATGATATTACTTAACTTACATTGAGCCTATTTTTTTATTAAAAGAAAGATATCAAATAAATACTCATCATTATTTTCATAATATAATATAAAATATTTTAAATATAAATAAAATAAATTATTTTATTAAAAATAAATTATTTTATTAAAAATAAATAAATAATAATTAATGCTTGTGTAATTTCTATTCACGACCGACTCAAGGAAGTCTAAATTTAAAAAAAAAATTGTATTGTTAATTAATAATAAAAAAATCTAATTTGAAGACTCGAGTTCACGACTTGAGTTTATCACGATAGTTCACGACTTGAGTCGACTTGAGTTCACGACTCGAGTTCATAACTCAAGTCAGTTTGGGTAGATTTTTTCGACCCAAAACTTAGTCTCAGTTTTTGAATAAGTCGACTCGACTCAGTCGTTTAACAACACTATACATAACCATTATATGATATGCTTAATCAAAAATATACTAAAATAACATTTTAGTATATTTGATCAGTCAATTATCAATTTTTTTATATTATTAATTTTTATAATTACATTTTAGTTAAATATCTGGAAATTTCAAAAAATTAAGATGCTATTTTATTAGATTTGTAAATTTTATAATATTGATCATTAACTGATACGATTGGCCCAATCGCATAAAAAATATGGGTACATCCTTAATATATAATATTTTAATTTTTTTTATTGGGTGTTGGAATTGGATGATAATATTATATTTATAAAATTATAAAAGTCTAACAACTAATAAAATGCTTTATATTTTTTTATATCTCCATCATGAATATAGACGAGAACGAATGAAAGCTGACAGATATTGCAAATGAAGAATTCTATTTATTTGTATATGAAAATGACTTAATAATTGTATAATATTATGTAAATTTTTTTATTTACCACTTATTATTATATGTAAATAAATTATTAATATATTGATAACCGCATTGGAAATGGGGCATTTAATGTATATATTGATTCATTCATTTTGTGGATTTTATATAAAATTAATTGTTATTAAGAATAGAAATGAATAAATATTACATAAATTGTCATATTTACCTGTGCGCCAACAAAACTATCAGCGTCCGGGTATTTTAAAAATCTAATTGGCGGCACGGCATGCCCTATTTATGCCCATGAAACACAAATGGTGTAAATTTGATTCTAATTTTGTCAAACAAAAATTATGCATAAAAATCAAAATAACAAGCAAAATATAAATTTTCATATATATTTATAAAATATCCTTAACCAAAATCACCATGACAAGATGATTGAAAAATTGCATATTAATTATAAGAGACCTGCAGGTACCATTTGCCTGACTTAGCATGGGTTTTATATTTTAATTCCCGGCCCAGATTTTTTTAAATGTAAATATTTATTTTTAATTTTTATAGTTAATAATAGTGATTTAACATACGGGCCTGGCCCATATACCCGGGCCTGCAGATCTCTGTTATTTATAGAAGAAATAATATAATGGATACACAAATGCATTTTACTCAAATATTAAATTTAAATATACAAATTGCATTTATAAAATTTATATCAGAAGATATATCATCGTAGTTTATCTATAAATATAATTTTATCCGAGTTATCTTGAGTCAATGAAAATCTTTTTGAATTTCAATATTAAGCCAGCAACAGAAAATATATTCGATCGAAGGGCTGTTAGCTGGAACGGAAAGTATTTTCTAGTGTTATAAGCTTCTTTTAAAAATAGCGCGCTTAGCTACTTTTTACGCTATTAGAATTTTTTTCTCCACAAATAAAAAATATGACTAAATTTTTAAATATACATTTTTTTTTATTGCATCTCAGTAATTATAACATACCCATACTTTCATTTCCAAGTCTAGACGATCAGAAAGTATAAGCTATGGCTATATAATCGTTCAACTCTAGCAATATATTTTTATATAAGAACAATCGTCAAAAATATTCATTTGGGTATTTTTAGATTTAAAAATGCGAGAAATCATCTATAAGTAAGTGGCGTTATTTGTCTAAATTATATGGGGAGAAGTGGGTATCCATGTTTGTCAACTCGGGCCACCACGACTTTTTATCTTTTGAACCTATTTCTCTCAAAATTGGTTAAAATGTGTAAGGATTGAAATAATCATTTTTAGCATGTGTTGATTAAATTTATAAATTAAATAGATGAGTGGTGTATTTTAAGCATGTTTAACATCCAGATAATAATTTATAAAATATTATCATTAAATAAATGAATCTGATGATAAAAAGAAATATTAATATTATTTATTTATTGAAATTTTAAATATATAATATAATTCTTGAATAATATCTTATTTCCCAGAATTGGGGACAACATTTGGAAATATTGATGATATTTCCCTCGTTTTTAGCGATTTAAAAAAAAATCAATTTAAGTACAAATGTTTATAGCATCCATTAATATTTGTTTCTAAATTACTTTAGAAATTTTCTATGAGATATAGCGAAGTTCCCAATTTTTTTTGTTTTTAACGAATGGAATCAAATTTGTTTAATATATTACTTTTAAATGTTTCCTCCTTGAAGCTGCTAGTCTTGTTTAGCGATAAAACCTATATCTTACAATGAAATTTATACTCTGTGTTAATATTTTTATCGAGATTAAAATATTTTTTGAATTCAGGAAAAGGAAATTTCATATTTTCATCATTTTTCAGGGAAATTATTTTGTCAATATGATCTGTAGCAAAATTATCTTCAATATCAATCTCTATGGTCGACATTTTATTATTTTGAAAACTGGATTTATAATGCAGATTTTTAAATAAAAATATTATTATTTTAGAATTAATTATAAATATATTTAAATAATTTTTATGTGTTTATTATAAAAAATAACTTTCTGGATTAATCGTTATTTTTTTTTAAATTAGCGCTAAAGCTACCGCTACTAAAAATATTAGCCCGCTATTTTAACAACACATTTTCCTAATAAATATTGCTAAACTAGGTTATTCTATTTATTTGAATTTCCAAAATGTCAGCACGTCAGTTTTAACTTAGGCTTGCTGTCCTATTGCTAACATTGTGAGAAATATAAATTATGTTGATATTAATGTAAGTTTTTATTTATTATAAATATTTTTATACGGTGTTCTATTTAAAGATAATTATAAATAAGCTCTACTCCGCCCCTTATTCAAAAAAAATTGCTGGCAGCCCTGTTATATGTTTGAAAAGGAGGGGCGTAAAATCTAGTCATTTATACGGGGATTGGAAATTTTTAGTAACTCGGTTATCTGTTCCTTAATCGAAGTGGTTTTAAGGGTTCTACTTCCGGTGTTTAAACTATTTTTAAAAAGGATCAGACAAGATAATAAACCTCTAATATGAATTATACAACATTTTAAACAATGCATTAATTAATTGCCCTCACTTTTGTTAGAACCTGAAACTGTTCCCTAGAAATCTTAAAATGGGTTCTAAAATTTTTAAAAAAAGATTTCAGGTTGTCGATCTTGTCAAATTTTGGTTGGTTCAATATCACATTATATTTAACATTAACCATAATTTCTGATAGAAGAAGTTTAAATGTACAAACAAATTACATCCTCAAATTTTGTTCATTTAAACATTATTTTTTTTGCATTGAGATTTTAAAAAATTATTTATAATTAGATCTATGATATTATTCGTCTAATACATTATTTATAAAAATAAATAATATCGACTGGTTCAACAACTGCCTTTGGAGTAATTAACGATTTAAATTTCCTAATACTGTATATGTGATTTTACTTTTTCTAACAAGACCTCGTATGTTACCAATATATTTAATAATGTTCAATATAATGATAATAATAAAATTAATTATATATTGAAGATTATAAGAATAAAGAGTATCCAAAAAATTTAAATAAAATAATATATCAATTAGATCTAAAAGAAAAGATGTAAAGACCTGCAAAGGTACCATTTGCACGGCCTGTTTTAAACAGCCCAACCCTGGGTTTACATTTTTAGGCAAGGCCAGAATTTTTTTTTTGAAAAAAAAATTTAAAATTTAGAACAGGGTGTACGGCCTTGGTTTTTTTAAAAAGAAATTTATTCTTCAGAATTTTACGCATAATTTTTGAGTGAATATGAAATTCTTATATAATAACTTTTCTAATTATTAAATTTGCAGTACATACAAGATAACTAAGGAAATTACCATCGATCAATCGAGTAGAAAGTGTAATGTTTCAAAATAATCAATATATGCTTTCTCCCTGGCAAAAAAACATAGCCTGAATTTGGAACAGAGATAAGAGAGATAAAATAATGCTTATCTAAAATGAATTTTTTTTTCTTTAAAAAGTATATTATATTTTGAATATTGAGTCTTTTTCATCGTATCTTTTAATTTGATTGAATATCCTCTAAAATAATTTTTCTAAAAAATATTTTCTAGCATAATCGAAACAATTGAAATAGGAAATATGATAAGTGAATCAATTTATAATTGTTTCCATGATACATAATTTTTAAATACAATTTTATCTAATTTCTATAGATAATTGCCGCTTAAAATATTCGGCCCGACCCAAGTATCGGGTAATTAAAAAAATTATAGGGCTGAGCTCGACCCGGGTATATTTAAAAAAAATATAAATATGTACCTCAGTGCAAAACCATATTTGAAAAAATTTATATAAATTCGGGTCAGAGGACTAATTTATTTTTGTTTCGGGTCAGAATTTTCGAACAAATTTCCCGAAAAATGATTACAGGGTTTTTATCCCTACATTTGCCATTTTAAAAAATCAATTTTTGGGTTGTATTCTCGAATATCTGTTTTTTTATATAATTAATAAGAAAATAACCAATTAGGATTTCCTTTTCATTTCGTGACTATATGCATATATATATAAATGATTATCATATATAATTCTTTAAACAATATATTAATTGTCCTCTATAAATATCTATTAAAATATATATAATTTTAATGAGATATATGTTTACTTTTAAAATTAATAAGCGCTAAAATCGAAAAAAAATATATATAATATATTTGAATGAGTTATAGAAAGGAATACTTAAACGAAAGTCAAGTATGTAAATATGATATTTATGGCAACGTCTTGCTCTCACTCGTATACAAGCAACACAAAGACATAGCCTTATCCAAAATAACTAACTCGGGGTTGGCAATATTTCTGCTCGTGATGACCCCTTTTGGAATATTCGGAAATTTGTATCTTCTGGCTGTTCTATACGAGTATTGGCATTGCTTCAAATGCAATATGGTGAACGGAGTGCGATTTTTTAAAAACAATGTCAAATTTTACTTGAAGTTCATAAGTTTCTGTTGCCTTTTTCTATGCATTCTTTTCTTATTTTGGTCTTATTATTACCTGACGCCCGGGTGTGGTAGAGAAAATGGAACGTTCGCTTATATGATTTGGTTGGGTAAAGTGGAGTGGGTCCTTGAAGAAGCAATTATATGCTCGGTGAACTACGTGATGGCTTTAATGTGTTTCGACACCTTTTTGTCTCTTAGGTGCCCTTTCTTCTACCGAAATAACTACGCTAACAAAAATAAGGCCCTTAAGATAGTAGTTTTGGGGCTCGCTATCTATTCTTTTCTAATCGTTTTGCCTTTCTTGTTTTACTTCGTCATACTTTCCAACTCTCCTCTCAATCCTGGACTTTTAGAGTGGCATCATCACGTGATGGGGTATAAAATCAATCAAATCCACACAAATCTTACAACTATATCTACTTTTAGGCATTCGAAGGGACAACTGCACGAAAACACCTATTTCCTTTATTTCAATGAAAAAATAATCCATTTTTCCATGAGGTACGACGCGATTGAAACTATCTTAACGCATGTTATTCCTTGCACACTCATATTCGGGTTCAACGCTTTGACCATTTATTTATTTATTGTTAGGGAACGAAAATCATCGGCCAAAATCAGTACCAAACAAGAAGTGATGGCACCTAT